TAACATAAAATCGACCAATATTTAAACAAAGTATACGTTCACGCTCGTGTAAAAAAAAAAAAGCGCAGTAATAACACCAGCACAGCAAATGAGGTTTAAAGTGTTACACGGCGCATAATTGATTATAATTAAATTAATTAGTTCGCACATCAGACCCTAAACTCAACACATGAATACGCACGCAGGCAAAACCGTGCGTATATATATGAGACAAGAGACAAAAAACTTACTTTTATTGCATGTGACATAACCGCAAATAACCATTTTAAGGGCAGAGCGCAATACTATCGAAATCGCTGATGCCCGAAACGATTGAAGAAAATATCAAAAATATATATATTTTGTAAGACATTCATTCATATATGTACGTATGTATAGCATGTGTTTAGTAAAACTTTCTCATTGTCGCTGTCCGCTTACATCGAAACATTTTGCTCTATACAGCAGTAAATGCTTATCCTCGTGTACATGACTCAGTTAATTGCTCTTGCAATTGTCCTGATACGTCAGCAAAGATCCTTTTGTAGAGAACACTGAAATCGCATATCGCCATCGAAACAAGAAGTGAAGAAAGAGTTTTGCTAATGACTGGCGCGCTTCGCTCTGAGAGAGTAGTCATCCTTGTCAGAGGCATATGGAGTTTGAATATGTGATTTCCAGGAAAGCGTCTTATCCGCGCAACACAACAAATCAGTGAAAGGTTCGAATTATTCAAAACAAAACAAAAAGGGCTAGAGATCACATATTTGATTTTAATCCGGCACTAAGTGTTCACTTCTTCGCGGAACGAAGTGAATCAAACGAAGTGAATCAAACGATTAATTGAAGCAAATGATTCGCAGATAATGCAAGCAAGTGTTTTGATGATTGAATCCATATGAACTAATACCTCCTATAGCTCCTCTACATCCTTTAAGCCAGTGAACGTTTCAAAATCAATAAAAATCGCATGCAAAAAAAACAATAAAACACATTCTACCAAGTGTGAGATAATCAATAGTTGTTAGCGAAAGGGTCAAATGCTAAATACATAGAAGTTTGTACTACTCATGGACTAATTGGACGAAGTAATAAAACATATTACGGGCGCTTGATGATAATGATTAGGTTCGAGAATATTGTCGAACCCATAAAATCCCATAAAAAAAGGGATTAAACTTTTGTAATTAACTATAGCTGCTCTTGATTCTGAAAGGTTGTTGAAATCAAACGAGTCAAAATCAATAACAATGGTATCTAGGATATCCGATGATCATATGGGCACCAAAGTGTGATGTGTATATCGACCTTAGTGCATCTTTTCAGAAATCTTTTTTAACATTTGAAGTACATGGTCTGAGTTGGGATCCACAACGAATGTTACCTACTTATGATAGTCGCCTTAAACTTATTATTTAGTCATCTCTTCTGAAAAGTAGCTTGACATGTCCCTTATTATTAAACAGTTGAATGGTGACGTGAATTCTACGGTTCTGCTTAATGTATTGAAAATAAGCATTCGGTCTCGGAGCTAGTAGCCGTCATGTTCTTCTTAAGTTGTCTCAGTGTCAGATTAATTATGAAAGTTATGGACACTGATTTTACTGACTACTATTACTTGTATGATAGTTCCTCGACTTGAATAACTCATGTCAGGAGTGCCAGTTTTGAATATGATGCACCCAGGCTGTGTCCAGTGAATGTTTCCTGTGATTTTGGCATAGGATTTGGTGAATTCATCGCTATCGACTTAAACTACACATCTGTACACAGAGAATGAATGGGAATTGTATCCTCTTAATAGCTTCTTGGGGTTAATCAATTTTTGTAACTTTTTTGTTCTTCTTAACGTTATTATTATATGCTAGAATGGTTGGAGTTTTGAAAATTGTGCAACATATCGACAGTGATAAAAAAAACTCTAGTTGCGTTCAGTTTACGCTCCACTGCGGGCTTCTGCTCTGACCAATTTGGCCCACTTTCATTACCAACTTACGTGTTTCGACAAAATTTGGCGGTCGATGTCTTCATTTTTGCGACCACGAGGAGAGTGCCAACAACACACACCCCGCAGAGAAGGGAAAAAAAACAAAACGAATATACCGCCATCTTACAGTGATGGGTATAAAAATGCTATCAACAGATTTTATAATAACAAAAAGAACTAACCGTTAAGTGAGGCCGTCAAAAACGGAGTCGGATGTACTGGGTTTTTAAAGAAAGCTTCTTTTTCCCTCCTCTGCACTGTTGTTGTCTTAACATTGATGCATTTTTATTTAATATCATTAAATATTATATCAATTGTTGCCTATATATATATATATTAAGGTTAATATTTTTTTTATATTTAGGCTGAATTTACTTGTGCTAAAAAAAAAAAGATGAACCAATACAATGTCAAAGTTGAAACATCTAATACATACTCGTATAATGTTCCGCTAAATAAATACTAAAAAATATATTGTATTTTATTGGCCTTAAGATGATAATAACTAAATATGCGTATATTGCTGCAATTTATTTATCCTTGTATAAAACAATCTCAACTTTAGTTTACCTACCAATGTTAATTAATTCAAAGTTACATAATTACTTCAAACAACAAAAATTTAATATGCTTCGAACATACTTCACTTAACATTTTGTCAAATGCAGAATATTAATGAACAAAACAACAGGTTTCAGGTGAAGTTTATATATATATATATTTATGTATATGTCAGTTTAATTTAATTTTTTTTATTTTCTTTTTTTATAATATATATAAATTTGTGTGTAATTAAATGTGTCACTGATTTTGATTACTTTCCCAAGTGTTTAAACGTCATTATCTTCGATACGCTCATTATCTTCGAGTACTTTTTTGCGTACGTCTTCATAGGTAGGAATATTCTGTTTTATGTATGAAAGATATAATGTACTTAAATTCAAAAGTCTTGCGAATACTTTTAACTTAGAGAACAAAAAAAGCAATAAAAACACTAAACAGGTTATATTGGGCGCGAACCGTTTCATTTCTTTTCGATACCTACAACTAGCTTTTATACGGCATTCATTTCGCCACTTAACACAGCACATCATAGGCATAGTATTAAACGAATTTAAACAGGAATCATTATATGCATATCGGTTTTTGTTAATTGCGGCAGATTCTTCTTATTTTAATCTTTTTTTTTTTTTTTGCAGAAGAATGTCTGACCTCTAGACCTCTGTTCTTCTAGACAAAAACTGAAGACCATAATTGCAGATTGCCGGATGGACAGACGGATAAATACACAACGAACGATAAATAGTTTAGTTAGATCGACCTAGCAATTCAAACGATCCATATCCTTATATTGGCGTACATTTTCACATGCCTGTCTGTGAATCTACAAAAGTAGAGAGACACGTTCGCGCCCAAATTATTGACTAATAATTAAAAAAAAAAAAAAATCACCAATGATCTGTTTAACTCATATTAGTAAATGTTCGAATGAATGTTGTTAGCGCACTCAGATTGCATTTTAAAGCTTCATTCACGCATGGACTAAAAAAAAATTGCTGTACTTTTATAAGAATGCAAGAGAGTACAAGAAGAAATTCTTCTTTCCTTATAAAATTTTCTACAATCTTTCTCTGAATCAATGCAAACTTTTTAAACTTTAAAGCGTCTGCTTAACCCGTTCGTTGTTTATTGTTTTCGTCGAGACTGAAAGTCAAATTTCTTTCGCTAAACCGGAATGCATTATGTATCATGGCTTTCTTCTTCTTATCCGTTAATTTGCCGATAAGGTTCTAATACATAAATTGCAATAACGAACACAATAATATTTGTAAATTTTCTAATTTTTTGCTCAGTTATTGAAGTATTCAGAGCTTGTTTATAAATCAAGTATCTTCAGTTTAAAAATTAAGCGGTTTGCTGTGCTGATAAACGGTTAATTTCTGTTCTTCTCGAAGTTTCCCAACTATGATTGTTTCACGGCGGACAACGGACAGACGGACGGACATACTTCAACCGGCTTAAATTCTCACGTTAATTGAAATTGTACGTCTCAATATATAAATTTTTGTAAAGTCCTTCTTCTTCTTCCAGCCTAAGATGGAGGCTGTCCAACACTTACTCGAAAGCAATGATAAATTTCTCAATAAATTATATCTCTATTGATAGGCAAAGCTTAGGCGTGAGAATATGTGTATATACCATGTGTGTTCTAAATAAATTTTACTTAAAAAAAAAAAAAAAATCAATGACTTCTTATTAAGTGATTTTTTATTGCGGATGATATTATGTGGAGAGGGAAAGAAATGACAAACAATAGAACGTCTTAGCACTTACGTGTAGCAAACGCAAACTAATCATGAAGACGAGAACGTAATTATATGAAATATGGGAAATATATATGAGACAAGTAACAAGTAAGCGACAAATAAATTAACAACAATAACAACAATTAGTAATAAAGAATATTAAGAAACGAGTTATCATTTAAAAATATTTTGCATATATCGTCTTGTACTGACCTCCCAATAGCCTTTCTCCCAGCTGGGAAACATGCGTTTGAAAACATTTGGTTCGTAATCTTGAGAGATGCGTATGACAGTGACGGTGTCAATTGTGCGATCAGTTGGCTCAAACGCAATGTATTTCTTTAAAGAGAAAATTTCGTACCTTAGGTAGAGGAAATTAATTATGAATTTTTTTTTCTTTTTTTCATACTTTCGCTATATCTAATATTCTGCCATTTTCTTCGGCCGAAGCTCCAGAGCCTACCCACAAGTAAATTTCATCTCCGGTATCCAAAAGCATGACATCATCAAAATCAAGATCAGCTTGTTCAAAATGCATTATCTCTTCAACTTTGATTTTATTATTAATTAAACGGCAATGGAAAAGACGAGGCTCTAATATCGGGGCACTCTTCTCACTTAGGCTACGATCGTAAATACCCTCACCGTTGAGATGTTCCCAAAATTCGTCAGGTTCGGCACCTTCTTCTACAGTGCTGAGGTCAACAGATGGCCAAACACTTTTAAAAAGATCCTCGGCCGCATTCTTCTCAAATTCAGAAGCACCCTAAGAGGTTATACAGTTTTATACGACGCTTTCCAGAATCTCGTCTCTCTTATTCATTAATTTACTCACTAAACCAATCCATATAAACGCTTTGTTTTCATTGTAAACGAATAAAACGTACACGTCGGACGAGGATAATGATGATGAGTCGGCTTCAGTTTCGAAAGCATGCACATCATCGGCATCGGTACCACGTATATGGAACAATTGATGTGTTGTTGGCGTATTATTTACAATTGTGAAAAGTTTCCCTTTGAACATTTTTAAGAAATGTCTAGGCTCGTGATTTTGTACAGTGCGCACGAGTATCGCATTTTCTGCAACAGCTAAACCCAAGGCGTCCTCGAAAGCATATTCGTTCACATTAGCGGCTTTTACACCTTCCCACACATAGATTAATGTACCACTTTCGTCATTCTTGTCATGATAAGTATAAGGAATCACATATGCGTCATGACTCTTTAAAGGCAAAGATTCCGTATATGAAATTTTTTCTTTTTGAATATCATTAGTGCCAGGTACCGAAGAGTAAACAGTGATTTCACTCAATTCATTTCGGCCATTATCTGGCATAAAACCGATAGCATGACCCCCTTTCTCTTTCAAAGTTTTTAGTACCGAATCAACATCGTCCACATCGAATTCAGAGTTATCGCTGTCATAACCGAGAGCGGAACGCACCAAACGGGTATGAGACATACCAGCGTCACGCCACGTAGCAAAATATTGCTTGAAAGGTGCTGACTCAGCTCCTTCCACAATACGATGTATCTGAGTCCAAGCTGGGTATTTTTTGGAACGCAAAAATTCCTGGGCTTTAATCAAACTATCGGTCTTTTCTTTTTGCGTTGCGCCGCGACCCACCCAAACATAAATGCCCGAACCAGTATCCAAGATAAAGCAATCTTGACTGTTCAACATTTCTTGACGCAGAGGTTTCTGAGAAATGGGATCGATTTTCAGCGAACCACTAGAATCCGAAACTTTGTACAATGTCACCGAGTTCGCATCTGTAGTTTCAAATGCGCCATCTTCTTCGGCTGTCGATTCATCAGGAACTTGACCCGGTGACCCTGAGCCCAAAATTTCAAAGAAACTTTCCTTATCCGCAACATTACTAAACTCGTCTGTGGTAACCAATACGATGAAACCAATTAACACTTTAACATGAACCCATTAAGCTAATAATGTCATTCACTTGCCTATTATGTGTACTCTCGCACGACCATTATGATCTTGATCTCTTATTTGGTTGGCGGCGCTAATTGCCTTTAATTTTTCCACACGTTTCGCTTGAGCACCCACATAAACGTAAATCTCATTGCCGGCGTCAAGAATGAAGCAATCACCCTTGTTCATCGAGGATATTGACAAATTTACCTGACGTACGCGGACATTGCGTTTACCTTTCACTTGGAAAAGACGCTTTTCACCTTGAGCATTGATTTCAACATGTTTAAAACTACTGGCAATGCCACCCTGTTCATAACGTATGCCTGCCAAATAAAAAAATGGCGGAAGGGAACAAAATGTATAAAACGTAGATAAAAGTATATGTCTCGGCGGGCAAGTGGCTATAACGGACACACACATACTCAGAAAAATTACACATTATCCTATTGAAAGTTGGTGATTAAAAAAAGAAAAAAACATGTTCAATAGACGATATACCTAACAGGTCATTGACACGAACCGTAAAAGCATTTAAATGAAAATTAATAAATGCCACGAACGCCGTATGCAAATATGCAATTGTCCATAAATAGTAATAAAAGCAACCGTGCAAAATAATTTGCGAGTAAGGGAAGTAGAAGAAGAAGACGCAAATTTTTATCTCTCAAACTAAATACAAGCCAAATTAAAATCTTACCATCGGACAAGGAAGACTATTAAACATACTACACCATGTCGCCGAACAAACCTGCACAATTCTTCACCGGTCTTCATGGTAATACATTGTTGTCGTATAAAGACTTTCTAACCTTGAAAATCATTAAATGATAATGGGGTCGAATAATAAATTTATTCTTTAAACTTTAACTTTTAATATAAATAAATTTAATTATCAAATTGCTACGTTCTAAAAATTTTTATGCCAATAAACCGTAAACAATTTTCTTCTCTACGTTCATTGAGTACAAAAATGCCTTACTTTGTATCAAATATTAGAACCCACAGTTTGAATAACAAAATCATGGATAGAGATCGGACATCAAAAAATGAAACCGGATTATTTGTGTGTAATGAAAAGTGGTCGTGCAATACAAATGAAAAATTTTAATAGACATAACGTCAAGATTATTGGTTGAAATAAGTAGACCGAGGACGTCATCAAAATATATATAGAATTTAGAATTTCACAATTTATTCATGATACTATTACTTACCATTTTTGAAGTAACTTAAAAATAGTTGGGATTCGTGGTCCTGAACTTCGCGATGTTGGACCGGGCCGCCGTTAAGCAGATCATCTAATTGCACAGTCAATATAGCTGCTGCACCAGCTTCATCCACTGACGTTTCCGACCCCAACCAAAAGTGAACATCCCAAGATAACTTTTTATCTTTAGTTTGCACAGTCTAAGTTATTTGTTATCGAAACAAAACCGTAAATTAAAAAGAAAATAATTAGAAAATATCAAAACGTTTCGCGATCACTTGACTTGACTTGAAAGTAGTCCGAAAACGAAACCCGCCATAAACCTTACTTAACCCGTCTATTCATGTCTATTGCATGTGCTTGTTGATGCACACGACGTCTACAGCAATAAAAAAATGCATATAATTATCTTTTTTCGCGCCATATTTTTTCCTACGTCATCTCGGATTTTTATTTACATTATCTTAACTCTTCTGTTATCGTCAAACACGAGTAGGAAGATTTGCAATTTGTTTTAATTGTACGGACATATGAGCTTAGGTTCAATTTTCTATATTAATTCTTCGATCTGACTTGCGGTCGCGAAACCGCCCACCCAAGATACGTACAATTTTTGGGCTTGCTTGTAACTATTACAAATAAATAATAAATTCACGGAACGCCCTTTCGAAAAAAATGGGTTTTTCATTTTTATAAGCAATCGAGTAAATTGAAGAGTTCATGCAAAAAAAAAGATCCAAATTTTTTTTATATTAATTTTTACAAAATTTCGTATTATATTGTCAGAAAACGTGTTGCGAAATAGCAAACTATGACCGTAGCCGAAGACTTTTAAGAGTTCACTAAAAAAACGGTTCAAATTGTTTTATATTAATTTTTACAAAATTTCGTGTGATGTTTCCCGAACATTTGTTGCGAAATAAGGAACTGCAACCGTACCCGAAAGAAATATTAAAAAAAGTAATAGTAAAAAAGAGAAGTTGTCATACCGCAAAAAAGAAGTATTGCCAGTACGCACAATCTTATAGTAAAAATAGGAAATAATTAGAAAATATCAAAACGTTTCGCGATCACTTTACTTGACTTAAACAAAGTCCGAAAGAGAAACGCATCGTAATCATTACTTAACCCGTCTGTAAACGTCCATTGCATGTGCTTGTAGATGCACACGACGTCTACAGCAATAAAAAACATGCGCTTAATTATCTTTTTTCACGCCATATTTTTTCCTCCGTCATCTCGCATTTTTATTTACATTATCTTAACTCTTCTGCTATCGTCAAACACGAGTAGGAAGATTTGCAATTTGTTTTAATTGTACGGACATATGAGCTTAGGTTCAATTTTCTATCTTAATTCTTCGATCTGACTTGCGGTCGCTAAACCGCCCACCCAAAATACGTACAATTTTTGGGCTTGCTTGTAACTATTACAAATAAATAATAAATTCACGGAACGCCCTTTCGAAAAAAATTGGTTTTTTCATTTTTGTAAGCAATCGAGTAAATTGAAGAGTTCATGCAAAAAAAAAGATCCAAATTTTTTTTTATATTAATTTTTACAAAATTTCGTATTATATTGTCAGAAAACGTGTTGCGAAATAGCAAACTATGACCGTAGTCGAAGACTTTTAAGACTTCATAAAAAAAACGATTCAAAAGAGCTACCGTAGCCGAAGAGCTCATAAAAAAAAACGATTCAAGTTTTTTTTATATTAATTTTTGTAAAATTTCGTATTATATTATCAGCAAACTTGTTGCGAAATAGCGAACTGCAACCATAGCCGAAGATTTTTAAGAATTCATAAAAAAAACAGTTCAAATTTTCTTTATATTAATTGTAATAAAATTTCGTGTGATATTCTCAGACAACTTGCTGCCGAATAGCGAACTGCAACACAACCGGAAGGAAGTATCAAAAAAAAATGATCGTAAAATAAGAAGTTATCATACCGTAAAAAAAGAAGTGTTGCCAGCACGCACACTCTTATAGTAAAAATATTACGATCTTTTCAGCAAAGATCTTTTCACGTTTGTGTTTACGATAACGAATACTTACATTTAAGACAATAAACGAATCTCCAGAATAAAATTTCCCATAGTTATTTTTCGGATAAGCCACAGGCTCAAAATTCTGCAAAAAAAAAAAAAGAAAAATTTATGCATGTACAATGGTTCTTGTAAGGGGAAAAAAAAGCATTATATGTGATATTATCGTAAATTAAGCACGAACAACATTGGAATGATTTTTAAACTTATTCAATTTGAATTGTCAATAAAGAAGTCTTCTTCAGCATCCCGTACTTTAAATAGTTTTTGATTTGGCTGTGATTTAATTTGTACTTTTTTAGATCCCGTTGATATATGTCGATGACGGCCTGGTCAGAAAGTAAGTTGTTACTAAGAATATAAGACAAATTGCTTTAAAAATTTACTAAACATTGGATCAAAGAAAATCTCTGGTAAGCATAGATTTTATAATAAACAGCTATCACAAACTTTACTCCTCAAAAGAGGAAGAGAACTTTTTAAATCTGAAACAACTTGTTGATGATAAGGTAATGTGTGTTAGAAATGTCTCTCGCATGAGCAAAAGAAAAAGTTTTACTTCACTTTACTACTACTATCAAAAGCATTTAGGAATGACAAATTTTTTCAAATTGTTTTCCTTTCGATCAACGTAACTCTCTTGCTATTTGACCTGAGAATTTATCTGTATCTGCGTCTTACTGCACTTTTTCGCTTTTTTACAAAAATTGTTCCAATTTTTAAACAACAACAACAGCGAATATATTACAATCTTAGAAATAAAACGTAACTTATCCGGGAAGCCTAAGTTTTTCAACACGACAAAAATACTGAACTCTTCTTCAAATATGTTATACCATAATTCTTATTAAGTATTTTTTCTTATCTATTTGTATTTAAAATATTGCAAAAAAACTTTTCGCGAGGTCCAATAATGTTTTGTTTAGTTTAACTTTGTTGGATGAACGAGAATACTCTTTACCTCATATCTAACTAACTATGCTGTCGATCGAAAAGAAAGAAAAGAAAAACGTTAAAAATGAACGAAAAAATGTAATTTTACTCGAGCAGAAAATCATGAAATCAACACGCAATGATATTTTGGATTATTTTGATAAAGTTTCCACTCTCTAGTTAATAATGAACATGTAAAAGTTTCAATTTTATTAATTCACTGCGAAATAGAAAAATAAATTATGATTTTGCATAATAAGGCCTTTTTGCAAAATTAAATATGCAAATTAATTATTTTATTCGAAATGGTATTCCTACCGAAACCGAGAGAGAGAACATGCAGACCGCAAAAGAAATAACTTATTCAAATGCAAGATGTATCGCCATTGAAAATATAGCTTGAAATTTCGAGTTTCAACTTTAGTAAAAAGTTTTCAAAAGGTTTGTTCTTGTTCTATAGATTTATAATTTACGGCCAGACAGGCTTAAATTGTTTTAGAATTTGATACTGACACTTTGTGAGACCTCTGAAGCTTTCTTTTGGGCGTTGGAAAGGTTTGGACAAAATGACTATATTTTCAAGCCATTTAAGCGATTGGAATGGAAGAAAAAAACATTATTTCCCAAATTTTTACTCGGCATTACCTTCTTCCGACGTAAGAAAGAAAAAGGGAAAGGTAGACGATCGCAACATAGGGAAAGAAGGCAAGTTCTAAATCGATCTAGCTTTATCTCTTCGTCTGTGTGGGTATTTGTTGTTGTCACTCCCTCGTTTCGTCCCAAAAATCAAGAGATTGGTGCACACGGATTGGCATTGAAAATGGGCTAAATCGATTAAAGAGACAACGCCCACAAAGAAACGTAAATCGAACGCACCTTTGCTTCTTGAAGTAAAAATTTGTGAGTTTTTACTCATTACTCACAAATTATATTAGTTGGAATAGTAAAATTTCCTAAATTTATGTTATGAAAAGTTAAAACAGATCAAATTTTAATTTTTTGACGCTTTCTACCTATTACTCATAAGGTAACTCACCCAAGATAGAATATTAAAAATTTATTTGTACATTGTACACATGAAAATACATTGCTTTTATGGAAATGCTTTTAATTGTTATTATTATTAATTATTAGTTCATTTTTTTATCAACGGTTGGTTGAATCATTTAACTTAATGTTAAGTTAGAAAGGTGAGACTTTACATGTATATATATATTTTCATAGCATTATTCAGGCAAGGTACGGAGTATTCACAGTAAAATTTCGAAGAATGATATAATTAAAAAAAAAAAAAAAAAGAGTAGAATATTCCACACATTTTTACTGATAAATGTAACGTGTCGCGAGTAATAAAGAGATATTTGAGGCAAAGTTTATTCTCTTATGCAAAGCTTTGACGACGTAATGATGATTTTGTCAAACCGATGTACAGATGAGTATGAGATCGATTCCGGCAAGTGGACTGCATAAGAAAATCTCGATTCTTTGATTTGCATTTCGAAGACTTAGAAACTTTTTAGCAATCTAAAGGGTCTCGCTTGTCAGTTAGACAAACAGCGAACATTTATTTTCTTAGTTGCCCTAAGATTTATAGGTTAATAACAATATAAAAAAGTTGCATCAAAGCATTTTCGTGACCTTCTCCAGCTTAAGATCAATGTAGATTTAGATTCTTTCGTGGTCGCTTACCTATTCCCCACATATACGTAAATAACTAAAAAGGACGGTTGCAACAACTTCGTAATAAAGTACGTTGTGCCATTCTGGATGCCATATGTAGTGGACGCCTACCTGTCTTAATTTGTTGCAAAAATGTACAATTACAACTGCATTTCTGGGCCTTATTGGTATGGGTACATTTGAAATTGCATGATGTGCTAATTATAGTTCCTCTAAAGAACGTGTAATTGCTTTATTATCATTGCAACAATCATAATGACTATTATATGGCGCCACATGACAAAAGTTTTTTAAGAGAAAGAGTACATAAACAAATTTTTATTCCAATTGTTGAATGCGTCAATTCAACTTCCCTTAAATCCCACATTCCATTAGCAACGCAGTTCTCCATAAATAAATAAAAAAAGTAAATTATCGCTATCGCAAGGCGAGCTCAGTATGCTACGATAGATATTTTATAAAAAATTTGAAACTTACCTCGATTCGCCAAATCTCTAAGCCGGGTGAACGGCCAGCATTTGCAAATGCTGGATGCATGATCCTACGGCCAGGTGATTTACTATCCGCGTTCGATGGCTGTATTTGATTCGTTTGCGTGGGTAAGGCGGGTCGATTCGGTATAGTGCCGGTTGAACACAACGTTGCTAGCAAAAGAGCAATAAAGGAACTGCGTATGCAAAAAAAAAATTTATTAAAATAAACTTTAAAGCAGAGTGAAAGCAGAGAGAATTAAGAGAACGATATGAAGATAATGAGAATAAGTCTTGAGATTGATGAACGTGCTGACAATGTCCGTTTATAATGATTATAGACATCTTCGAGCATTTTCCCGAGAATACCCGGTCAACTTGCATTTTACTCAAAGTGTGTTTTACTAGCTGTCGTTATACATTATCCCTATATGATATATTCACTTGAGTAACTATTTTTGATTTATATATTTTATTTATTTATTCATCGTTGAGCAAACATACACATTCATTCGCTACACTTGGCTGATTACTAAATACGCAAAATTGTTAACGTTTCCCTACTAATTCGGTAAAACTTTATCAAAACGCAAAGGTAAAATTATTTATAATTATCATAAAAAGAATAATGTCGTTCGATCGCACCCTTAAAGTTAAGAAGAAGAAGAAGACTATTTACATTCGGTTGGCAAAAGGATTATTTCGGTTTTTCTAAAACTTTCCTAATTTCTATGTTTTTTTTTATAAAAATGTAACAAATTTAATAAAAAATAAATAACAATATTATAATCGGGCACGGCCGACTATTAGAAACCCCTACAGGACTCCGTCTTGTACAGTTATTCACTCGCTTTGATAATAATAATAATAAGCCAAGAATTATTTTCATTTTCATGCAAAGGCATACCTTCCACAAAAGCGCAAAACACACACACGACGTGATCTGAACTTTGCAAATTTTATTCAATTCCTAAAAATTTTGTTATTTTTCAATTTTCGTTATAAAAAACTCGAAGATCTCTCCACACCAGGGCTCGCTTTTTATGAGATCCCCCAATATACATATTAGGATCTAAAAAATTGACTTGTGTGATACAAAGTCTCTATTGTCAATTTTTTTGCTAAGAACCAATTTTCACCATAAAAATAAAATACGGAGACCTGAAGGTCTCTGTATGCGGTGATATTTAAAAAAATGGATCTATGTCGTCCAAATTTTCATAAGGTGGATATCTTTTCAATTTTCACCATGGAACGTCGAAAATTAGATCATTTTACCATATAAAAATCCCCTTTTTGATAGGAACGGTTATACGGTGTCAACAACGTTCGTTCTTGAGTCCAAACACGTCTACAGAATTTCATCAAAATGGCTCCAAAATTGCAAATAGTGGGTTGAATACAAGAATCTAGGCGGACAGACGGACAAACAAGCTTAGATTTATTTTGAAAATGATTCCGAAAATTTCAAAAATTTTAAATGACTTTAGTTTGACTTGAAAGCTTTAAGCTATAAATCATTGGCACAAACAGACTTACAGAGCGTAGCATACACAATATTCGATCGAAAATGGATGGAATTTTTGAAAAATATAGCGTAACATGTATACCGAATGCATACAAATTTAAAACTTAATTAAATCATAATTGGAATATTAATTTATTATTTTTTTAATTGAATGATAAATTTGCCTAATCTACCAAAGCTAGCTGTGTGATAATTCCTTTATTAAGTCATGTAGAACAGAGCTGAGGAAAGCGTCTACAGTTGTTTGCAAGTGCAAACAATCAACTATTAATAATCTACATTGGAGGCATACATCATACATCACGCATATCTGGCGGATTTATTATTTATTTTATTTTCTCCCCTTCTCTCTCTCTTTCTCACTCTCTCTCTCTCTCTTAAAATTAATTATGAAATTTATTAATTTGCTATTCGTGATGAATGATGAATACTCGCTTTCGAAAATTAGATTAAGATATTTGATAAAACTAATTCCAATAATTAACATATCGGAAAATCACTGCTCATAGGTTTAATCTTTCAACTTAACCTACAACGAAAAGGAATACAACTTTCATAGAAAAATGATTCAAGATTTCTTTTCTTATTTATCAGACTAATGAATATATAGTATCAAGCACTAGAACAAATAAAAAAGTTACCCCTTAGAAATTAAATATAAATTACGTTGAAAGAAATCCGCCTCAATTGTCATCGGTTGCCGAATCTCAAGGGCGAGAGTAGGGTTTTGTAATAAAGCCGATAGACCTGACTTTAGCCTTGGAATTTATTTCTCCAGCTAAATTCATAATAATAATAATAATAATAATACATTTAAGGTGAGAGTATAGCTTTAAAGCGCTCATCAGTAAAGTCCCGCATCACTTTCTCAGCAAAGGAATTCTTATTATTATTATTGTCTTATTATTATTATTATTATAACTTGCATCAAATCATTTTATAAGTCTTCTTCAGTTAATAGAGTGTAATAATAAAAATAAACAAACGAATATAATCAGAAAATGTATGAAAAAAGGGTTAATATAGAGAATTAACTTACATCGCAATATTTTCATCTTTCGCTCGCTATCGTAAGAAAACTATAAAAATTGTCCCAACTTTCAATGTGTCTGCATTCTTGTGCGTGTGTTTTGTGTAAATGTTTAAATAATAGCTACGTATATTATTATTATTTACTTAGTTTCTCTATTAGTTATGCTATTGTTTACTTTGTTGCTTTGCACTAAAATGTAGTTTAGAAGTTATGCGTTTACAATTTTTTATCTAATAAGTTGAGAGAACTTATAAAAACGGAACGACGGTACATACTTCATCTTATAATATAAAAGACTTTACGAAGGCACTACTGCACGCTATAATCTACGCCATTTATTATTTATTATTTATTACTATGTACAATAAGTAGGACGAATTTAATTTTTACTTTTTTAAATCTCTTTCTTCACCTTCGCATGTAATCCTAAAAAACAAGTAACCTTCCCTGTGAATAGCTTGGCTGACGGAAGGAGTTCGTAGTGCACAACTCCAAGAGCACTAAATCGAAGAAAACTATTAACATCACCTAGACTTTTGAGTGACTTTGGCATGGATTTTTCGACCTTGGTTCAACTTTTCAACGATACTCCCTCGATTGATCGGTTGTTACCGCATCGGATCCAAGTCTAATCTAATAATGCAATTTCTTTGCTCAACAAAATCACGCAGTGTAAAAATCAGATAAAAATAGTTTAGCAACGTTTGTTATGTGAAATTTTGCACAGATGTCTGTCACAGTACTATCAACTATGAAAAGAAGTAACTCTGATGTTCGATGTTCGATGTACCCGCGGAATTTAATTTGACAATTGGTCTTACTTTTTGATCATAGTATTATAAAATCTCTTTAGGACCAAGGTCTCCCGCGAAAAGTATGCCCTTTGCATGAAAACAAAGTATAATTCTGGGCGAACTTAAAGAAAGAACTGTGTTAGACGAAGTGCTTTGGTTATCTAATCTTTGTCCTTGACCAACTACAATGTTTATATTTGCTTGAAATTAATTTATTTACATTGGTCTTACTTTTTGATCACATTTTGATTACTAAAATTTTGATTTTCCTTTGCTAGTTGTTTACTTTATCTTCTTCAGATCTTCGATCCCTGCAATTTAATTAAATCGAAATCGCATAGCACACCAAAAAAAAAAAAAAAAAATATTTACCTTATTTACTAATATGGAAAAATTATTCATCAATCTATACGAAAGGTTCATATGCTTATAGCTTACCAAAATGAAGTTTTGCAAAAATGTAGCAAAAAAACTGTTTTTTCTCTTCTTTTTCTTAATTAATAAAAAAAAGCCGGAAAATATACGAAATATTAAGTATAATTTAAAAATTATTTACGCGTAAATTTTTTTAATCGAACTGATCGTTTTAAAAAGTCACTGTTAACTAAATTTAAAAATCGAATTAAATTTAGTTAAATTTTTTTTTTTTTTTTTTGATATTTTTTCCTTTTTTATATATGCAATTTTAATTGTTATAATTTTCTCACTTTACCATATAAGACATGTATTCACTTGAATTACCTGTAGATCACTGCTGCCATGTTGATCGCTTTGCCAGGGGCTTTTCGTAGCGGTTCCAGTATTTTAAGCTTTTATTTATTTTTGTTTGTTTTCTTTTTTTTAATGATTTGCTTATTGTATTTTCACCCAAGCGCAATGACTAACGCAATATACTCTCTCGATATGACGAACTCAATTTCAAAAAATGTATGAGAAAAGTAAATTAAAAATCTAAAAGATAATAATAAATGGAGAAAACATTACTAGTTAATAAAAATGTTAAAAACAAAACAAGAGAGGAATTGTTTGACACTCAAAAAAAATTGACGTAAAACAAAAAAAAAGTGTATATATATATATATATATATATATAATGCTTGCATTTGTATTACATTCAGGTATAAATTTAATTTAACGAAATCAATCAAGAATAACATATGTGTGCTAAGAGCCGGCTTGCTGTGTTCAATTGTTCGAACTTCTTAGACTTACAGACTTAAATCAATCGGGAATATCTCAGATAATATAAAATATATTAAGTAAAGAAGAAATCCTACTAACCTAATTCTTTACAGGACTGACTTAAGCTCACTACTGTTTTTACAAATTTTTAAGGCAAAAAGATTGACTTTATGAGTGTACCTACTCCTCCGCATAAAAGTATGATGCAAAGCGTATGTTATGTGATTATTGGAAAAACTCAAGCAAGTTCGAATTTTATTAAGTAAAATGCAGGAAAGCGGAATTACTATCCTGAATAGATTTTATCGATAATCATTTGCAATAGAAGATGAACTCCTCACATCTAAAATTCTTCAATGATTAATCTGACAATAATTTACTTAAGCATCGTAACTTTTGAGCCCATTGCTCGCAATGTCCTTCAAATTTAATTTTTCAATTATGATTTCAAATAAAGAAAATATATTTCAAAAACAAATTCTCTTTTCACAACCAAAGTTTCAATTGTCATTAAAGAATCAAACAACTAAGAATATTATCTTACGATATATGTTTAATACAAAAACATTTTAAATTATAAAGTCATTTGTAGGTGCGTCAAAGGTCGACAAACGATCAAATCTTATTACTCTTACAAGTATCCTTTTGCGTGCATAAACCCAAATGCTCTTTCAATAATGAATATAAGAAAGATACCCTCTTTGTTCTTCCACTTTATGTCGGCAATATGATAAAAAATGTTCGTCGTTCACACAAATCAAGTACGTATGTATAATTTCCAATGGTCTTGATAATTGCAATAGCGGTCAATGTCAAGCAGTGTTCAAATAAATGCACAAATACACAACAAAACTTTAATTGGCAACGACAACAGCAATAACTGACTGACTGGGTTATTTAACACATATAACGAATATGTAGCATGGAATAAATTACAAAATGCCTTACATATATATATATATATATATATATATATGACAACAATGCACTTATGTAAACTTGAAAGGTAAATAAGTTCATTAATTCGTTTGTCTACATCGTTCCTGTATCATAAAGAATAATGCATCTGTCAGAGATTATTTATAATGCGGTAGTACGTTAACTGGACAAAGCATTCAATACAATATGTGTGTATTTAAAAAAAGAGAATAATAACATTAATAGCAAAAAAAAAAGCAAAGATATATGCAAACAAGGAAGAAACAATTACGGTAGCTTTTGGAAAAATTTTTAGAAAGTTTATAGATATACAATCCGTCTCTAGGTATGGATAGAATTCACTACTTCAGATTGAGTAGAAATTTTAAGCTGATTTTGTTTTACGATAAGCTTACAAAAGTTTATAAGAATTCAAGCTTTTAAAAGTTGAAAGGAAATAAATTACAATTGGTCAAGCTTTCCCGCAGAACTCCTCAATTTCAAATTGTAATTCTCAACTTGGGTATCGAGAGCTTGATTGCTTTTTTTGCCAACGGCTCAAAGGATCACATAAGAGGATATGCTCTGCATATATGAGCACGGTGTTGCCAGGAAGAATTATATGTAGAGCAGTAAGAAAGTAGTATTTGTTCAGGTTCAAGTTACAAGTGCAAACATCGCGCAATTCTGGGAGAGATTATCGTAAGTAGATTGTAAAAACAATTTTTCCATGCACCACAGTTTTCACTTAAAACTGAACTGTGAATTGATTGCTATTTATTGTCCGTTTGCATTAAGTTTAAACCATTACTCACTGTCTGTTATTCGTTTTATACAATATTCAATTTGCGTCCTTACTTTACCTTACCTTTAAAAGGTTGTAAAAAGGAAAGAAAGAAAGATAATTATTTGGAACAAATTCGTAGATTAACCATAAGCAATAAGAATAATTATGTGTTTTAACAAATTAAGGATTGCGTTTCTTTTCACTTTTCTTTCTCCACAAGTCATTACACAAATTTAGATTATCCTTAACTTTAAATAAAAATTATTTAAAATTAACTATGCTATGATAATAATCATGATTTTCCGTAGACCTTTTCTTCATATGCACAATATATATAATATAATAAAAAAGATGCAAATATTCTGACGAACTTGATTGATGTAACAAATAAGGTTGTATCTAAATAATCGTCAAGATGAGTCCGTTACGCTCGAGCATGTACACATATATTAAAATAGTGTCAAAAGACGGTAAAATCAAAAACAAAAAAAAAAACGCGACACGGGTTTGCCTTAATTGTCATTAGAAAACGCTTTTAAACTCACAAAACACTACCTGGTCAGTTAGATGATATAATAGAAAATGTTATTTTGCTTTTTCGCTTGTTGTTCGCTTGTTTTCAATTTCGTAGTATGCGATTTTAAGCTGAGATTGTTACGAGTTGTTCGAGCGGTTTTGAGAAACTAAATCTATAAGCAAAGCTATCGTTTATTATTTATATTTATTAAGTTAAGCGCTCGATTGAGTTCAAAAAGTCTACGCAGCAATATGTGGTACAATCAGTAAAAGTTTGTTTTTCTTAGAATATTTCCTTTCTTTCTTTTTTCTTTTTTTTTTTTTTTTTAAATTTACTCTTTTAAACATTATCAAAAGACGAAATTCAAAGGAAAAAAAACAAGAAAGAAAGAGCATTTTATTGATAAGAACTTGTACGTTTACGTAAATCATATTATGTTTATTGGAAGTCTGGTCCAATATTTTTCACAGAAACTTAATATTTACACGGAAATCGGTTAAAAATATAATATAGGTTTTTTTCTAGAATCAAACAAATTTTCAATAATGAATTTTGAATACTTTCTATTCGTGTGTAACGGCCAATCGCAGAGTTGTACAATTACTTTGGTAACTTACATAACATCAAATATAAAATGTTAACGAAACTAAATATCGATTGTAAAAGGATATGGGCATAGTGTTTACTAATTTTTACCTTTGATGTAGTTTAAAAACTAAAAATGATTTAAAAATTATTACGGCGGCCAAGCTTTTCAGCCATTACAGTAAAAGGGAGAAGGACAATTTTATGTCATGGTTGCACGTTACTTTTAAAAAATCATAAAAATGTAGAAAGCATGTAATATGCATACATATAAGCCTTGAATGTATATTGAACTTACTTGCATTCGCATTAATTAGTTTTATATTTAAATTATAAATAAAACGATCTTCAACGGAACTGGTCAATCGACAAACTACGACGAAAGCATAATGAAGAATAAATAAAGCCAAAGTAATGACCTTAAACGAGAAAATTATTTTGTGGAGAAAAGGAAAGCAACCATCATATATTTAAGTTAACTTTTCCTACCGTGTCATTCGTTCCATCACTCTATCCAATATCTGTTTTAATTTAGATATAAATTTCTTATCTTTTAAGATTCACCATTTACGCGCTAGTCGGGAAAGACATAACAAATTTTCTCTGACGGTTATCAAATTTACATCTCTTCTATTAACATTTACCTACACATCTTCGACCTTGTAAACAAAGTTTGCGGAGGATACGATTTTAAATATTATCCTTTTCATCTTCTTTCTTTACACGCGTAAGAACATCAACTTGATATATAGTAATAACACTTACCATCAATCTGCACGTGCACATCGATCCGTCTATCAATTCTAACAAAATTCGATTGTGGATTTGAAACTAGGCTTATGTAACTATTAATTTTGAATTAATGACTATGTAAAACTTGTTGATTGGGGTATCACTGGTTTAAATTTGCTTAAATTTAATAATCAACTGCAGTATTTGATAAATAATCTCGGCGGCCAATGTTTGAGGCTTGTTTGCTTTGTATGGCTTCTAATTTAGGACATTCGGTGATGCGATGCCCAAGACCGCCGCAATAACTGCAACCATGCGAATCGCCCAAATCCAAATATTGTTCAGATTCGGGGCATAATTCTGATAGAAAATCTGGCACCTTTTGTTTAGCCTCAATTAATAAATGCTTTAAATCTAACAACACCGATTGATCGGTCGTTTTATTTACAAATGTCGTAGCTAAGCCTTTGGTATTTGACCGACCCGTACGTCCAATACGATGCACATAATTTTCTACATCTTCTGGCATATCGTAATTGATGACATGTTGTATATTGGGAAAATCTAATCCTTTTGACGCAACGTCGGTAGCTACTAAAACATCTTTCTTAGCATTTCTATAAGCTTCTACCGCCCTAGATCGCTCTTCTTGATCCTTACCACCGTGAATTGCGACCGCTTCAACGCCCTTTAGCAATAAATACTCGTGTATACAATCTACATCTTGTTTCTTCTCAGCGAATATCAAAACCGGTGGAGCAGTTTTTTGTAAGCAATCAAGAAGATAGACAACTTTAGCTTCTTGCTTAACATATTCAACTTCTTGTATAACATTCATTGATGCTGCGCCGGCACGACCTACATTAATTGTGACTGGTTTAACTAAAGCAGAGCGAGCGAAATTCTGTATCTTTTTTGGCATAGTAGCCGAAAACAATAAAGTTTGCCGCTGTCCTTTAAAAAACGAAAATATTGTGCGGACATCTTCCTCGAAGCCCATATCGATCATACGATCAGCTTCATCCATGCATAGATATCGGCATATATCCAGAGTGACCATCTTTTTTTCCAACATATCCATTAGGCGCCCTGGCGTAGCAACCATTATATGGACACCTTTTGCTATGACATCCAGAGCTTCTGATATGGGTATCCCTCCTATCGCAAGGCAGGAACGAATTTCAGGCATTCCACTTTGTTGCAAGTGACGCGAATAATGCTGTAAAAACCAATCAATTATTATAAATTCTAAGTATATATGGGCAAGATGTGACTATAGTCTCTGTACAATTTGGAAAATCTTCCACATATGTCAGATCTCAATCCTATCCTCCTATTTTCATGTTACATTAAGGATACAACAATTAAAAGTTATGTGTAGAGTTGTTATGGAGTATTAGTAATTAAAGGCAGATAATTGCTAATGAATGAGAAATTTCCCCGCTAAAGTTAATGCTGTCATTGTTCCAAATATTCATCAATAACCCGTATATGGCATATTCTATTAATCATAATAACCGAAATATGTGTATATATTAGATGGATCGTTAAGTTTTTAGCAACCAAATATGCGTACAGTATGTCGTCATCCCTCCGGGAACGTTATATGACCAGCAATTGCTTTCGTTTACCAAACTTCGGTAAATCTCTCAAGATAAGGCTCTGCTTGGTTTGGCAAAATCTGACTTTGTCCATTTTTAACGTTAACAATGTTAATATATAAAGTGGTTTTTTGGGACCCCAAGACCTTCATGAGTATTAAAATCAAATGAAAGAGTTTATGATTACCGCTATTATGTCGTGAGTCTGTTTGGCCAATTCCCGCGAAGGGCAAATAATCAAACCATAAGGCCCTTCATTTCTCACAAAAGGCAGACGATATTCTTGCTCCAACGAAAACATTACAATTGGCAATGCAAAGACCAATGTTTTTCCGGAACCCGTAAAAGCAATACCAATCAAATCGCGTCCAGATAACACTGTAGGTATACCCTGCACTTGTATAGGGGTTGGTTTCTTAATTCCCTTTGCTGCCAAGCCATTCAATATTCCTTTGGGGAACTTCATTTCCTTAAAACTGCGTATGGGTGGCGCTGTGTCTTCGCCTTCGACCAACACTCGCAAACGTTTGCGTATACTGTTACGTTTTTGCTCAGACATTTCCATTATATATTTCGGAGGTTTCCAACCGGTCTTAATCGGATCTTCATACTGTATGCCTTTAGCTAATTCAGCTACACCCATAAGAGCTTTTTGCTGTTGCACACTTTCTAATATTTTCTCTTCTTCTTTCAGCTGTTTCTCAACATCACTAATTTTTTTCGCCTCGGCTATTTTCTTTAATTCTGTGTGCTGATCCAACAAACTTATATTATATTTTCGGCCCCATATCTCGTGATCAGCTGCATTTTGTGAGTCTTCATCAATTTCGTTTTCGCTGGATGATTTTGGCTGAGCAGCTTCAGCCGTTAGCTGAACTATTCGACCTAATTTCATTAATTGCTGTTTCTTGCGCTGTTTAACCGGCACGTATGGGACATAATTATCTTCATCTTTATCTTCATCGTTCTCTGCATGTAGCGGAGAACCATCTTCCTGCGTTTTTCGGTAACGTTTAATGGAGGGAGCAATTGATGGAGTGGAAGTATGCGACATTTTTATTCCCGTAGACAAACTGTAAACTTTTTTCTATCTATTCCTATAAAGGTTATCCTGAAGAGAGGCAATTTCCTTTTTTTCGCAATGGAAAAATATGTTTATTTGGCAGAATCTTTATCGCCCACTATTATTTTCTAGTCTCTTAAATCAAAATTGATAAAACCAATTCTTGTCAAACATACAATCAAGCGTTCATTGTCATTTGTTCTAAAAAAATCTGCAACCTTTTTTAAACTATCTGTTCGATTCCAGTTATTTCTTATTTGCCTTAAGAAGGCAGCTTTCCAAATACCCACAGGGTGGATACTGCATCCATTAAAAATTCGTAAAATTATTTATTGGCTTCTTGGCCTTGGTCCAGAGATAAAAAATGGAATGCGATTCTTCGTGTTAAGGTTTAAATGTAGCAACAGCTTGGTTGATTTTTTTTTATAAATTAAGTGCTATAGTTATATCAAATGAAATCTGTCCACCTTTTGTATTGGTTGTCGAACCATTGTCAATCGTTTCTTCCACATGCGATTTCATTTGCTAGAAAACACTTATTGGCAACACTGCCAATGTTAATTCATAAGGAAACAATATAAGAACGGAACGTTATTAAAATTTAATAAATAAACTAAATCAAAGGTATTGAACAAATTAATTATCCGTGTACTAGCTTTTAAAGATAAATATCGAAAATGAAAAGGCAGAGACAAAAGAAAGTGGATTCGAATCAAATTGAAGGAGCAAACGAGCTTTCCACTGATTGGGAAATTGAAAAATATCATCAAGACTTCGAGCCGGATGACCATTGGCAATTAAAGCGACGATTTATAGAAATGCATAAGAAAAATTTTCCTGAAGATAAATTGGTTTGTTTGGCTCAGGTATTTACTAATATGGAATTTATGGGTTGCAAATATCCTGCCGAAACAATGCGGATGGTTGCAGAATTGTCGAAAGATGTGGCTAAAAATTTTCGAGCGGAACGTGCTAATCGCTTAAAGCGCACCTTTGTGACTGCATCTGATGCGGCTGAAGCTCGCGCTAAAGGTAGAAGAAAAACTTAAAATGTTTATAAACTTAGCTTTTAATCTGAATGTACGAGTGAGATCGAAATAAAGGAATATTTAACGAGTTTTTTTTTTTTTTTGTTGTTTTTTCTAAATATAGGACGCAAAACAGAACCATGCATAAATATCAAAAGTAACGCTTCGATTTCCAACGGATCCAATGAACGCTGCGATGTTAGTAATAAAACTGACAATCAATTAGGTCCATTGACAAAAACGCTCAAAAATATTGATTTATTTGAAAATTTGAAGTTTGGAAAGTTTGTAGTTTTTTTACAAGGTGGAAGGAATTGCTTGCGCGAGTCAGCTCAACGTTCCAATATGCCCTACACGGAAAAAGACTATTTGGACCCAAGTGGACGCAAGTACAAATTGAATTTTTTTAATATGCCTCCATTTTTAGTAAATTTCGCTTATAATAATTAAGGGGAGCAGAAATTTACGTAAACAATGTTTTTGTGGCTGGCGCTTGTGAGGACAATCTAAAAGCTTCTAAAGCAAGTGCTTTTAAGCAAGCCCTAGAAATATTACAAAAACATTGCTACAGCATCAAAGTAAGTAAGTAGGAAGTATGGCAATAGGCAATAGTACAGGGAACATATTTTCATTAGCAAAATCCTTACCGCGATACTATCAAAATTGAAAAATCGAACAATCAATTAATATGCGGCATTGTTAAAACGCAAACAAGCATTGACGATAAAAAATTGGATGCATCTAATAAAGGATATAAAATGATGAAAATGATGGGTTGGTCTGGTGGAGGTTTAGGTTCACAACAACAAGGTCGAGAGGACCCTGTGAGGCAAGTTTTTACATATTTGTTTAAATTTGATGTAAAAACTCTTATTTATTATCACAGCTATCTTTTGAAAAATGATCGCACCGGTTTGGGAAATGAGGTTAGCAATTTAGATCGCAATTACTGTGGACAATTGATGAGAAATTATAGGGATTCTGACGATATCCGGGAGCTTCAGTTTGAGCCCACTTTCACGAAAGAAGAAAGGGCCTTATTACATGAGTACATTTTGATTTCAATTTATTTATGCGCTTGACTTTGCAAATAATACAATTCTTTTTCCAGATTTGCACAAAGATATGGGCATAGGTCGTCTAGCTACGGTCAACATGGCATGCGGCGCCTAATAGTTAGTAAGAAAATTTGTACAGATGCAATTTTGCAAGAGATACTAATTTATAAGAACGCTCGTTACATGGATCATTACTTTATTCAAGTGCCGGAAACCAAATATAATTTATTCCCCGATTTCAGTAACAAACTATCACTATAATAATTAGATTTTCAATTTCTTTTCATATTACGAAGAAAATGGAGCGATCTAAACTGATTCCCAGAATTTTCGAAGCTCTAATCAATTCAAAAAAAACAATCAACGAACTGTCCGAAGGTGCAGGAGAAGCCGGAAATAGGAAAGGCAATAAAACACTCGGTCGATATGGGCATTTTGAGCAAAATAAAGAAGTTTGGAATGGTAATCAGGCTTACAGCTTTGACTTGTCAGACGAGCATGAGCCAGTCCCTGTGATGCTAATCGCGGAAACCCGGAAGAAAACAAGCGGCGTCTCACTCTCCGTTTTGTCGCAGGTTCCGCTCCCTTATTTACTTTAATATAACTATCAGTGAAACTCGTCGATCATCAATTGTCACTCGCAGACAAACGGCAAATTTTTTTTAAATAATTTATCTTATCATATCTGTGATGTAAAAGTCACCATGTAACAGTTCTAAATTACATTTCTTCGAACATTTATAGTTTGACAATATAAACTTACATTTTCACCACTGCCCATATGAAACAATTCGCAATATCGCGTTTATCAAAGGTTTACGCCGAAACGGATATATCTGTTATATACGATTCCACAGATTCGATTTAGAGATGGACAGATTCTTTTCTAGGTAGATCTAAGTGTTTTCAAGTAGTTATCGGTATATGTAGAAATTTTTAACCAAAGCATATTTATTCGATAAAACTAAAATCCGAATTCTCTTTAAACTCTTCATTTTCTTAATCTTCTTAGCAAGGTTATTTTTTAATTGCCCCTAAACGACTAGGATCTTGGCTTGGATAATGAATTTGATTTGAGACGCCGCTGCCCGGTGGAGGTGGTATAGAATTTAATACCGCTGCTCCAGATGGCATGGAATAAGGCGCGGCATATGCCTGCGAATACATTTGGTATGAGGAAGCAGGAATAAGGCTTGGTGGTATTTGATGTAATTTCATGCCAGGCGGTAGAACAGTGACTTGCTCTTGTTGCAAATTAAAGAAATCATTTGGATTACTAGCAGCCATCGGCGGTGGTATAGCATTAATCTCAAAACGCCGATCCGTCTTAGCTACACTCTGCTTGGCTTGAGAGTGCGCCCATTTAATTGTTATTTTGTGTCCGCCAATCACAAGTTTGTTAAAGGTTTTTTCAGCCGCAAGTTCCGAAGCCGATCGTTTCGTATATTGCACGAATGCACATTGCTGACGTGGCACTAAAGCAATAGAGCGAATTTCGCCGTACTGATAAAAATTATCACGTATCATAGGTTCCGTTATATCTTCAGGAAGATTTCCTACGTATAGAGTCGTGATGTTGCGATCTTCAGGCGGGTCGAGCGTTGGCAACGAAGCAGCTCTTTTCAATATCTTCTCGGCGACAGGGTCATTGCGACCATAGTATCTATCTTTAATGTTTTGTTCACTTAATGGATCATCCGGTTCATTTGGTTTATCATGGCGATATGGACATTCTTCACCACGTTTGCATTCACCTTTCACCCAAAACGAGCATATGTGAGGGCGATTACGTTTATAATAAGGCGCTGTTCGAGCGAGCTTAGAAAGCATATCACTGGCGGCTAAAGTTTTCCCTACGACACCAATTGCTTCAGTCCCATCGGTATCTTTTAGTTCCTTATCTATATTTTGTATGTAGTACTCCTTATTTACTTCACTCTGTGGCAAATTCTCAACCACTTTTAGGGCTGCATCACGCACTTGGATAGGCAAACCGTACTCCAAATCTAACAGGCATGTCTGACACACATTTTTCAAACGGGCGCATGTTTGGCAAATTTCAGTCTTCTTGAAACGCATGCGAGCACCAGGACACCACCGAAATATAGTAAATGGACGCGTGCATATTTTGCATTCTTTGCCGTACCGTTCTTTTATCATTCGAACGTAAGGATTGTCTCCTAGACATGTTTGACATAAGATTGGAAATTCTGCGTCTTCCCAATTTTGGCGATTGTACGTGTTTGTAGTTTTAGACATAGACATATTTAAAACAGACTAATTTGTTTTCCACTGCAATTAATTCTTTATTTTTAAACACAAAAATATTTTAATTCCTGATTACGACAAAATTCGTCAGAAAAATGAGCAGTGTTGCCATTTTCTACATTTTAAATTTATTTTCTTCTTCTTCCTAATTTGGCAAATCAACCACAGATGGATTCAATGCCTTGAGTAAAGTTTTTAAAAATACATATGATTCAAAGAAAATATACGTACGACTGAGAAATTGTTCAATATTTATTATATGGTTTTTTGAAGCGATATGTTTCTATTATAACATTTCTCCAAACAAGAGGCAAGACTAAGCGCAAATTGTGGATCGAAGATGTTTAGCTGAAATTTGTAATCTTTATTTAAGCATTGATTTGTTTGAAATTTTAAAGATTTAATAATTGTTCAAATAACCTCCTCTCCCCCTCTCTCTTAACCGTTTATATATAAATCTTTTCAATATTTTTTTTAATTCAGGTGGAAAGAAAAACTGCATGAAAACATTAAAGGAGAAATCATATAAATATAATGATAAAAAAAGGGAAAAAGCGTTAACATTTTGATTTCATTATTTCTTAATAATTTTTGTAAGTCGTTGCAAATGAAATTTATCACCCGATCTAAAATTATTAACAATATGAATGACATACCATAATTAACAAGAATTAAAAAAAAAGATTTGTTCAGCAGAATAAGCAACTTTCATAATACGCATTCCGTAATGATTACTGCATTTTTTTTTCGAGTTTTCTTAAAAATATTTTCTCTTATTGAGAAGTGGATGTAGATTATGGTGCGGATGGTCGTTGTGGATATAGTAGTCCAGTTCTCATTCTTGTGGGGCCACCGTGTTATTAGTACTGCTTTCAACCGAATTCGATTTTGATATATTCTCGTTTACAAGATTATTACTAAATTTTTCATTGTTCTGTGAGTTGTTGTCAGAAATGGAAATATTGCTACTATCAGTTAAAGGAGTTTCATTAGACGACATTTTCGATGGCGTAGCGATTGAGGATACAGTTGTAGTTGGCGGTTGGAAGGCCGGCCTCTGCACAAACATATTATCAATGATGCGATCAATATTTTCTGCACTGCCAATGGGAGGCGCTAGACCTTGAGACACGGCAATGGTTACAGGAATCTTATTGTCTTCTTTAGATTCATTTGAACGCTGCTGTTGTTGAGGGGCAGGTGGCTTGGTTTTATCAGTTGGGGGCAGTATGGGTATCGCATTGGTTGGACGTCTCTGTGGTAGTACGACTTGGCGTGCAGCGGCTTGAGCCGGAGGAGGCACGAAGTACGTGGTGCCTCCCACCGTGTTATAGTTTTGATAGTTAGTGGGAGTTCCTGTGGCAGCACCCGACTGTGGAATTACCCCAACACCCGCTCCAGATCCATAAGGAGCAGCAGATGTTTGAGTGGGTGCCAATGAGGCGGCCCCAGAAGTTTGATTTTGGGGCAGATAGTTTGATGGTTGTTGTTGTTGACCATAGGGTCCGGACTGTGAAGTCTGCGCACTAGTTGTGGCAGCAGTATAAGCATCTGGAGAAGTTACATAGTACGCTGTCGGAGCCGGAGCGGCAGCAGGATATGCATTTGGCGTGGGCACGGTGGCGTAATTAGGCTTTGCGCCGGCGGAACTTTGACTAACTTGTAAAGCCTGCATCTGGGCTTGAATATTCTCTTGATGGTACAATTGCATCAAGTTTGCTTGCAACATATGCTGATCAGGAAGTATTAACTGGGGCTGCGGCTGCTGAGTCTGCATATGCAACTGCTGTAGTTGATGCTGCTCGGCTATATGCTGAGCCTCATGCTGTGAACGCCTTAAACTGGAGTAACGTTTTGGCGGACCACGTTGCTCTTGAGTAACGTTTTGCGCTTGTTGTGTATTCATCATCAAATTGCTTGGTTGCTGTGAGTTTAATATATGCGATTGCTGCTGTTGATGTTGATTTTGCGTAGCTAAAGCGTGCATTTGAACACTGCCAACGTGACTGGGATCATTTCGATTCTGCACCAATTGCAAGCGTTGTGACAAGTTCAAGGTCGTGCTAGTTTTATTCGGAATTTGAACAGTTTGGCGATTCAATTGATTAAATATAGGCTGCGCTTGCTGATGTTGTTCTTGTTGAGATACTTGCATAGTTTGATAACTATGCTCGTGAATCTTTTTGTTGACAACGTTAGCATTGCTATTATTATTGTAAACATCGATATGTTGTTGCGATTGATTCGCTTGATGTTTGTTAACGGTCTGACCATGTTTTAAAACGTTCTGATGTTGTTGTTGCGCATGTTGCTGTTGGTGGGTATTGCCCGAGCTAGATTCCCGTTGATTTGATAGATCCAAGCGATTATTAAAATTATTAACAACTGGTGCTTGTTGAACATTGTTCTGATTAGGCTTTCTTTGCTTTTGCTTGAACTCCATGGGTACTTGGCGACCACTTTGACCTCTAAAGTTATTCTTATGTTTGTTGTCGAATCTGTCTTCCATGCGTTCTTTGTTATCATCAGAATGATTTGGACGATGACCAGCAATCGATGGCTTTTCCATTTTTTCAAATTTTCCCTCTTTTCGGCGTCGTTCTACACGATTTTCTTTTTCTTCGCGGGGTCTTCGCGACTTACGGGATTTGCTCGACTTTTCATTGAGTGCCGGAAAATCGGTTGGTTTGGGTGGTCGACGCTCCTTATTATTGGTCTTCAAGTAGGCGCTCTCATCTTCCCAATTACGTGAGTATTTGTTAGGCCCACGTCCGTAACGACGTCTTCTACGTGCCTTCGGTGGGGCATCTTCAGTGCGAATGTCGTATCCGTAAGCTGATACTAGCTCGGCGCGTGATTTGGGAGCTTGTTCCTTGGGATCAAAACGATCATGCGACCATCGATCTACAGTTGAGGCTGGCTGCCAGTTCTTCATCGCCTTTGAAGCTGCTGAAATTGTTGGACTTTGAATAGACTTCGATCCGCCGCTACCCACAGTTGAGGTTGCTGTACCAGAAGCACACCCTTCAGCTCCTTGTTGACTATCAGTACTTATGTTTTCTACTTCACCTTCTGCTGTGCGATCGTCATGTTCATAAAAAGTACCCCTTTTGGGTATATACTGAGGATTACTTCGATCCTCATCAACTTTTTTTTGAGCTTCACCTTCCTTATCCTGTGTACGACTAGCTTCATCAAGATCAACCACATCATCGTTTTCATCAGAGTCTGTATCATCTTCAGTGAGGCTATCATCAATTTCATCCTCGTCGTCATATTCTTCGTCCCCTTCCAAATCACTAGCCGTATCGTACTCTGAGTCATGAGGATGCGAATTGCTAGACTTTTCTTGCACGGGGGATGGCTCTAGTTCGACGGATGTTGGTAATCCACTATTACCTTTGATAATATCAACACCTTTTCCATCACCTCCGCTCGTAACTAAATTTTCAGCTGTCACTAAAGTTGTTTTCACTATGGCAGCAGATATTTTTTCAACTTCGGCCATTGCTTATGTTCTGCTCCGATTTTTTCTTTTTCTATTCGTATGTGGGATACACTTCACTTCTTTTTTCGACTTTTCGAGTTTTTTGTATTTTTATATTATTTCTTATAGATCTACTACAATAGAACTATTTATTATTAGAAAAATTTGCGAAGAAGTTTCCAAATAATCACCTCTCAATCTCAAATATGAAACTCAACTTTATTATCGTATTATTTAGAAATTGTAGTACATGTAATTGAATTTTCTCCCTTTTTTTTTATTCGGTGCAAATCCAACAACGCAATCAGCATTCGCTAGTATTGCCAGGTTTATTATATTTTATCACATAACATAAAAAAGAATTCTCATTTTAAGTTTTATTATTATTATTATTATTTCAATTTTAGACTAATGAAATGAATTCTTAGACTAAAAAAAGACATTGAGCACTAGCAACACAGGCTATCGGCTCCATTTTAAGTTTTAAAATATATACATGTTTCAAATACAGAAAGAAAAGAGCCGATATTGTGTGTCATAGAAAATGGGCCGGCGTTCTTTGTTAAAATTTTCTTTGTATTGTATTTGCTCGTGATTTTTTTTCTCATTTCTCTTTAAGAAAAGATCGTTGTCGCAATCTAAATCACAAACCCTCTCGTTTTGAAGGAAGGAAGATTTTTTGCCAACATGTTTCTACACAATATAATACTCAAAGCAAAATAGCACTGCCCTTATCACTTGTTTTCATTTCTCAAAATAAACTTCCCTCAACTCTTCTTGTATCTAGTTTTCTTTTGGTTTTATTTGTAAATATATATGCAAAACCATGCGATGTAGTAGTTCCCATACTCTTTTATAAAAAGTCGCCAAAATTCAAGTCACAAGACGAAAGTAGGAATAAGGCCTTATTGTGTCAACATCGTTATTGTCAATAGCTTTCAAAATATAATATTTAACTTAGGCAATACTGATTGCTTCGGCATGACTGGTAAAAACATTTCTACTAAACAGAAAGTTTAGTTTGCAAGATATTTGTTTTATTAAAGGAAATTGACAGGTTTTTGTGAACAATTTTGCAAATAGTCTATCAATAATGGTACGGCTTTTCAACTAACAAATATAAATTATTAACAAAAAATTTTATCATTCGATAGGGTCAAAATCAATCGGCTCAGGGCGCTTCGGGAGATAAGAAAGATGATAAAGACAAAAAGAAGAAATATGAGCCTCCAATTCCTACCCGTGTTGGTAAAAAGAAACGTCGCGTGAAGGGTCCCGATGCCGCTATGAAGTTGCCACAAGTCACACCTCATACTAGATGTCGTTTAAAGTTATTGAAACTCGAACGAATCAAGGATTATCTTATGATGGAGGATGAGTTCATTAGAAATCAAGAACGATTAAAACCACAAGATGAAAAAAATGAAGAAGAACGTTCTAAGGTCGATGACTTGCGTGGAACCCCCATGTCAGTAGGAAATTTAGAGGAAATCATTGATGATAATCACGCTATAGTGTCCACTAGTGTTGGTTCAGAACACTATGTAAGCATTTTGTCCTTTGTTGATAAAGATCAATTAGAACCAGGTTGCTCAGTGCTTTTGAATCATAAAGTTCACGCTGTGGTCGGTGTATTGAGCGATGATACAGATCCTATGGTTACAGTAATGAAATTAGAAAAGGCACCTCAGGAAACATACGCCGACATAGGTGGATTGGACACACAAATTCAAGAAATTAAGGAATCTGTGGAATTGCCACTTACGCATCCAGAATATTATGAGGAAATGGGTATTAAGCCACCCAAAGGAGTTATTCTTTATGGACCTCCAGAACCGGTAAAACGCTCTTGGCGAAAGCTGTCGCCAATCAGACGTCAGCCACATTTTTGCGAGTAGTGGGGTCCGAGTTAATACAGAAATATCTTGGCGACGGTCCAAAATTAGTCCGAGAACTATTTCGTGTAGCTGAAGAACATGCTCCTTCCATAGTGTTTATTGATGAAATTGATGCAGTAGGCACGAAACGTTATGATTCAAATTCAGGAGGTGAGAGAGAAATTCAGAGGACTATGTTGGAGCTTTTAAATCAGTTGGATGGTTTCGATTCACGAGGAGATGTTAAGGTGATTTTATAATTAATTTCTATTCAATTAAGGAAAACTTGGTCTAAATTTTATTTTTTAAAGGTAATAATGGCAACAAATCGTATAGAAACTTTAGATCCTGCCCTTATAAGGCCTGGTCGCATTGATCGTAAGATTGAATTCCCTCTTCCGGATGAGAAAACAAAGCGACGTATATTCAATATACATACATCTCGTATGACCTTAGCAGAAGACGTCAATCTCAGTGAACTTATTATGGCAAAAGATGACTTGTCTGGCGCTGACATTAAAGCTATTTGTACGGAAGCTGGTTTAATGGCTCTGCGTGAGCGTCGTATGAAAGTTACTAACGAAGATTTTAAAAAATCTAAGGAAAGTGTGCTGTATCGCAAAAAAGAGGGGACTCCTGAAGGCCTTTACTTATAAAGCATTACTTTCTTTATACTTATGAAATATAAAATATATTAAATTTATTAATTTAATTTAAGCCTTTATTGAGAAAAATTCAAGTCGCATTCAATAAATCTACAACCTTCGGAACTTCGGCTTTGAATTTCGCTAGTAAATTATCCACGTGTTGTTCTTGCTTTTCCGAAATTTCGCTCACATTCTCTTCTCTATTATTTAAAGAAATGAATTGCTTATGTTCTTTGGCTTCTTTAACATTCATCTTCAGGTACTTTTCCTTTTCTCTTAGCAAATCCTCTGAAGTCAGTTTATCATCCAAATGATTGAAGAAATATTTAAATTTACCTATTTCAAAGGCAGCTTTTAAACCTTCTTTGTAACCTTGATCAAAAGCACTTTGAAAAACGCTTTCTTCGCCGTCAGCTACACCGTCCGCATAACTCATCTATGAAAGAAAAGTATGAGTCATTCGGTGTCCTCTAATCAGAGTAGTTGTAAATATTGGGAAAACAAAATAAACCAGATTTATTTGATCACTTTAAACTTTGCTTTGCTATTTTGAATAAAAAGTGCCAATCTAATACTGCTAGTAAACATTACAATATGTAGGCAATACTGAACATAATTTCTAGCTAAACAGAAGGATGGCCACTCTAAGAATTAAGTGAAAAATATCATTTGCATATTTGCAGTGTAGCGAACGATTACCTTTGTTATTTTATTTCGGATGCGTTGAAAATTATTTTCGCCGAGTTTTTCAAAATCTGTCGACTCAGTTTCATCATCGGTAAGTGACATTTTCTACTGGGGACCAACTATTATTTATATAACTAGGAAGCTTTGTAATTTTGTGTTGATGTTGCTTATGCGGCTTCGACAAACGAATTGACGTTTGTAAGAGCAAAAAACGAGATCATGTGTTTTCCTTAACGCTTTAGGCGCCGCATGTAAACTGTGTTATTTGTGTAGTTTTTAGGATTTTTGAAAGTAAGGATTCGGTATAATCGACATTTATATAAATTTATTACATAAAACATTATATAGAATACTAATTACTGAGATTAATAACGAGAGTTTGTGCTGTTTCCCGGTTTTTTTTTTTTTTTTTTTTTGGGAAGATAGAAAATCCCAAAGAATTGATAACGCACAATTCTTGGGAAAAAAAGTGTTTCTTTCAGTAATCTTAAAACTTGGAAAAAAGAACATATGATTTTAAATCAAAAAACTGGAATAAAGGAAATTTAAAAATCCCAGCTTTTTGCTGTTAAATCTATATAGATTTCGAATAAAGCACACACGCTAATAGATAATGGCCGATTCATTCTGGAATTTGATATAAAAATGCATATAGGCCCGGTAACTTAAAGAATAATTTTGAAAATAGTCGAATTGCGAAAATAGCTCGAAGAGGACCAAAAAGTTCCACGCAATCCAAAGACGATATCAATAGAAAATTTGCTCAATGCCTATAATAGAGATTCGACTTTACTGGTAGATATTCGGAATTCGAATCAAAAAGAAAGTAACTTTTTCTATGCTTTTTCATGATTGATTAAAAACATCTTTTTTGTATTTTCAAGCATCATGAGTAGCGGCGATGATGTTTCACATCAGCTATTGGCTTTGATTCAAAGTATACCGGCAGGAGCTAGCAATGACGATTTGCTGAAAGGTTTACCGGATATTACACCTGAGTCGCATCTTGCAGGGCTTAATAAATTATTACAACAAGGAACAATAGAATTGTTAAAAAAAGGCGAGAAACTTTTTTATCGTTCAAAAGAACCCAAAAAAAGCGTTTTACCGAAAGACGCCGACAATGAAGAAAAAATTGTTTACGGTATAATTGAAGAAGGTGGTAATAAGGGCATTTGGATACGAGATATACGCTTGCAATCCAATCTAAATATGACTCAACTGAATAAAATACTTAAAAATTTGGAAACAAAGAAACTTATCAAAGCAGTAAAATCCGTGAACGTAAGGCAAAACGACTTAAAGAGAAACAATCCAAATGATTTCATCCATAATTTTAGGCCAGCAAAAAGAAGGTATACATGTTATACAATCTAGAACCTGATCGTTCAGTTTCTGGTGGCGCATGGTATCAAGATCAAGACTTTGAAGCGGAATTTGTCGATGTCCTGAATCAACAGTGTCTACGCTTTTTACAGGAGAAACGTAAAAAAGCGGAAGAACGACGAGATGGTCCACTCGCCGTTAGGCAGCTATCGTGCTGCTCCGTAAAAGAAGTTCATAAATATATTTCAGACGTGGGCATCAGCAAGGTAACTTCAAAATTCTTAAATATTAAAACAAACTTTTTATATGATCCGCTGTAGGTTAATTTGGATGAAGATGATTTGGAAACCATACTCAAAACTGTAGTTTATGATGGGAAAGCTGAAAGAATACTTGTATCAGATGGAGCATATGTTTATAGAGCTATTGAGTCACCCTTGCCTCCAGCTGGATTAATACAAATGCCTTGTGGCCGATGCCCGGTTATTAAAAATTGCTCAAAAATAGGAGCAGTTACCCCCATAAAATGTCAATATATGAAAGATTGGTTGGATTGACCTTAAAACTTAAAAAAGTTTGATTTTAGAAACGACTAATGATAATAAATAAGAGTTTTTTTCTTGCTAACAGTTATATCCATAAAATGGGGCATTAGTTTTTGGGGGTTGGCAACCGTAGACATTGACATGTACGTGGCTCGTTATCTTTCAATAAGAAATGTGTAAATTGTCAAAAAGAAATTTCTTTGTTAGGGCAAGTGATACTTTTTATTTCGTTTAGAAATTTATCTATAGTAATAGTAAAGTAAATATAATAATTGTAAATAATAATTATTAAAGAATAAAGGAAGCGTCTATGTAGCCGCCAGGAATGGGTTTGTGTAAATGTCCTAAACGCCAAGTCACTAATCAGTTTTGTTATGAGCATCGGGTTATTGTCTGTGAGCATTGCATGGTGCAAAATCATCCGAAAGTATATTAAATGTTTTACATATTAATATAATCATTGCTTAATATAAAATAAATTGCAGTGCATGGTTCAATCATATCTTGACTGGCTTCAAGATGCAGATTATGTAGCCAATTGTACGTTGTGCTCTACCGGTTTGGAAGAAGGCGAATGTGTGCGTTTGGTTTGTTATCGTAAGTGAACCTGTTTACGTTTTGGATGAATTAAGGCCGCTCGAATAATTTCTTTTACAAATTAAGATGTTTTTCACTGGGAATGCTTAAATGCCCGACAGTCATCTTTGCCGGGAAATACCGCACCTTCTGGTCACCAATGTCCCACTTGTAAAACAGAAATCTTTCCTACTTCAAATTTGGTATCGCCAGTTGGGGACGCTTTAAAACAACAGCTCTCTAAAGTTAATTGGGGTCGTAATGGTTTAGGTCTAGCTTTGGTAAGATTTTAAAAATATTATTAGTTTCGCTATTCAGAGATTTGAACTTTCAGCTCAGCGAAGAATCTATGCCACAAACAAAAATGCTGACTTCATCGGCAATGGTTAATACCAGTAAAACGTTTACGTCCACCACCGCAACTGTGAGCGGTGTGACAAAAGTTCATCATAGCAGTAACGCGGAACGTTTGAAGGCGAATGGTGCTTTTAATAATATTAATGTGAAAAATGAAAGTCCACATTCCGTTTTATTAATGGATGCATTTAATCCGCCTTCCAATGCAGATGTACAAGGTATTTACGATTTGCAAACGATTTCCAACAAAAAAATAATTTGTTTTTTTTTTTTTGCACATTGTAGCTAGTAGTCGTCGACCACTGCTTGCCCGTCAATCCCCTATTGGTGGCACTGATCGAGATGATAACAAATACGCTAGACGCACTACTACAGAAGTTTTCTCTAGATGGTCACGACGTTTCTATGCTCCTTCCTCGAGACCGCCGTGGAGACGTACATGGTTTTTGGTGCTTAGTGGCGTTTTAGCGTTTGTGGTACTCGTTTACTTAATGGCTGCATTAGGTAGAGGAGGCTCACGGGATGGTTTAGACGATGGTTGGAACAATCCAAATCCGCTGCCCCCCCAAAATTTGCATTACGATTAAACTTTCATAAATTTTCTTTTCAAATTTTTCGAAATCAACGCAGAAAAGTTTAAAAGTAAATCGAGTTTTCTGTTTTTTTATATTATATAATTTATATTATCATCTTGAAAAATTAAATCCATATTTATTTAGTTATTAATACAAAAACAAAAAATGCATACGAATTTTAAGACTTTTCAATTTTTAAAGATTTCGTTTTGACAGACTCTTCCCCCTCTTCAGTTGGTTGATGATAAGTTGGCATGTCCACAAACTTTAAGATTAAGGAATCCATTATAACGGGTGGACACCATTCGCTAAGCAGACGATAAATTTTGTAGCTAAAATTATGTTTAGAGTTGAAATGTTGTTCAGGGCGCAATTCTTTAATGTGGAATTTGATGAAAACTTACCGCCAAGGTTCGTGGATATATAAAGATTTTGGATGCGCGTTTGTTAATGCATGTTCAAATTTCTTTAACAAATCTCGATCTTGCATTTGATTTGGCGCTTTGAATCCGCTTATTATTTTCAAATGTTGATTAAAGCGTTGAAAATAATCATCATAGAATTTGTGCTGTTCAGTGGAGAAATTTGCCGCCATTTCTCTGGCGTGATCTTGTTGCCGGGCTGCTATATTGCTGGACATAACAAAAGAACCGGGCACAAAATTGATCACTTCAACACCATACTTTTGCATTTCAATGCGCAACGAGTCATTCCAAAAACGCACGCCAGCTTTTGAAGCAGCATACGGCGATAGAGACGGTAGAGCCTTCAGTTAAAATTGGAGAAAAATCATAATTGATTACATTAATTTTTTTTTGAACCGCATGCGACTTTTTAACGGAATTTACAAATTTTACACACACATATATACGTGTTAGTCTGTCTTTTGCAGCAGATTTCCTGTGTGAGCATTTGAATAATGCTTTCAACATTTTAATGAAATCGCTTTAGGGAAACATTAGAATATTATTAGTGGCATATGCTAGGGCTATAAGATTGGCTTTCGAGAGCTCAAAAGCTATATTATAACTGATGGCTGATAAAAATAAATCATTTTGGAAGAAAATATTGCTTATCAGCAAGGGAAAGCAAATATGATCTCACTTTTGATTGTGTAGACGTGAAGGCGTTATAGGCGGACTTTTTGATTTGTTTAGGCTTTGAACTTGTTTAGATTTTGAGCTTCTTTTGCAAATTTATAGGCGATATCTTTAGCATCACATTTGTTAAATCATTGAAATTTCTAAATAGAACGGGAAATGTATAACAAGATCGGGATGGAATAACTTAAAATGCTAACAATACCAGCAGGTGCCCTATTGGGAGCGTTCAACTCGATTTACTTCAAACAGAATAGGCGAAGTGATTTCGAAGTACCTTCGTTCATCATTTTTTCCTTTGTATTTCCTGTAAAGTCTTAAAGATTCTTTCAAATGTCGAGAACGGTTCTCAAAGCAAATTTGTTTGCTTGTATGATTTGCGTTTTTCATTAAACTTACTTATTATATTATATATTATTCAAATATTCTCTTAATAATGCTTAACAAATGCTTAACTTTTTACTTATAATAAATACTCAATAAAACAAAGGTTCTTGAAAAATATTTTTTATTTATGCTTAACAATGCTTAACAATGCTTAATAATACTTAATTTTGCTTAATTTTGTTAAATTTTGAAGTTGATTAAGATTGATTAACTTCAACATGCTTGATGAAACAATAAAATAAAGGGATCAAAGAAGTAACAGAATTACAAAATTTGAAAAAAAAAAAAAAAACAGAAATAAGAGAATATTTGAATAATATAATCATATAGCATATAATAATGAAATATTATTAAAATTTAAACTTATATATAGATATGTACAATATTGTAGATGATAAACTTACCATTAAACTACAGTGACTAGTTATGTTAATAATTCGTGCCTTATATTGTCTTATAATGGGTAATAGTTCTTTTGATAACCTCAAGGTACCAAGTAAATTAACATTGAATTGCATTTCAATTTGTTTCCATGTTTGCCATTCATATTCACCGAAGCACATCATTCCGGCATTATTCACTAAAGCCGTAAATTGATAATAGGTATTATCATCAATTAATTCCTTTATCCTTTGCTGAGCATTTTGTATTGTGTCTGGCTTTAACAAATCTAACTCAATTGTTATAATGCGTTTCGAATCACTGAGACTTTGCAAGGAACGTGCGCCAACTGAATTGATATTATGACAAGCTGATATCACTGTCATATTTAAAGAATGACAAAATACTGATAGAGCATATCTATTAGCAAAATAGTAATGAAATGATTTAGAAATTAATTTTTCTATTTTTCTATTAGTGCTTATGTTCGACTAAGATATATTGATTGATTGTTAATAATCTAATAATGTTGAGGGTTTTTTTTTTCTTTAAATCGTACGTTTGTGCGGATGTGTGTGATGATTAGAAGAACATGAGGTAAAATCATCGATTGATTCAAAACTATTATTTAAGCTTGTCCGTCCGTCTACCAAAGTTATTTTGCATTCAACCTACCTGTCGCCATGTTTGTGATAATATAATGAAATCTGGTATGGTAATGTGTTTTGGACCAAAAAACGATCGCTATTAAAAATGAAAAGGTTCGAATCGTACCACTTTTTAGACTACTTCTCCGATAATATTTTTTTTTATTTTGAAAAGTCGTTATATAAATGATTGCGTTAAGCCGAACAGGGAATGGTATTTAATGGCAGGCCATGGCTGTGTTTTCAAATTATACACTTTTCCGCTCTCTCCATCTATGCATGGGTTTGCATCTGTTTCCGAAAGTTCTAAGCAACACTAGTTTCTGATAGGTTAATCTCCCATTTCGATGAATTTTCTCCAATTTCTCTGGGGAGTCAAGATGTTTTCGTTTCAAAGGTCTATCTCTGATTGTTATTTTAAAGAATGTAGCTTACCCGCCTTACTGTTGTGCTCGAATGCTAGATGGAGATGGATAGAGAACCCATTAAGTGCGTATAGCGGAGTGGATTTGGCCATAGCGCAATTCGTTTGCAAACGTATGGAAAAACGGTCGTTGTATTGATAACGTTACAGATTTCGTTGAATCATTTAAAATACTGATTTAATCTTTATGCGATATATGTATATATACAGATTCTTCTTTCGTTTGCTTGATTATAATAAACTTTTTTTACTGGATTTGATTTAATTAAATAATTTGAAATTTTTTTTTCAAAACCTACGACATTCTTCCAGTTATTGAGAATCTGGTGTTTAAAAAAAAAAGCTCTAGTAAGAAGTCAGACTTTTATTAATAGAATATTATCAATAAATTGCCCTCAGAGGTTCTATTAGTCATTCTCAATCATTTAAGCTGACTTAAGAATAAAAAAAAAAAAAAAAATTCAAAGCAACACTTAATTTAGAAAGAAAATAATCTTTAATTACAGAAATTTGAAATTTTCAATTAAATAAAAGAAAAAACAAATATTTGTAAGAAGAAATTTAAAAAGAAAGTTTATGTGGCGGTAATTGCTTGATGTTGTTTTTTTTTGTCTGCTCAAACATCTCTAAAACATCTGTAAATTGCAATTAAGTGAAGATTACTACTATACTTCTTAAGGAGTCGTTAAAATGCATTCTACAGTCTATGGAGAAATGTTTCCTAAGGTATTTATTTGCAAAAAAGAGAAAAAGCGAGATAGATGCTTACCCGAGTCCGGAATCACAGCCTGTTATAAAGATCACATTTCGTGGTGAGACATTCAATTTTTTTCCACCCCAATTAAATATTCTTGCACAAGTTGAACGTAACATTATGATCTTATTTTTATTTTTTTATTTTTTTCAACTTCACCTGATCTAATTTTTATTTTTTTTTTGTTAATTGTATTTGATTTTCTTTTTTCTTTTTTTTTTACAAATTTATAATGATTCTTTACTCAAACGGCAAAGTACCGTTTTAAAGTATATATATGTTTCATATATATAAAGTTATATTATCAATTTGTTCTTTTTCTTTTTTTTTTTTGTTTTTTTTTTGTTATAGTTCTGCTGTTGCTTTTGATGGTGTTATCGTCAAGCAGTTAAAGCAGAAACTAAGTTTTATTTCCAATTCACTTTCCGTAGTCTTTGCTCTTTTTAGGGAATCACGACAGCATAAGAATATTCTTTAATTTATATATATACATATATATATATATATGTATACATATAAATGTATGGGTAGGTGTATACATTTCTCACCAAAGAAATTATACTTTTGTATACATTTATATCGGCATCATTGGTTACGAGTGTGTTAAGTTTTTCTTAATACTCGTAACAAGGTTAGTAATAATTATGTTTGCAATGAATATAAAATATAATTTAAAAAAAAACTCAAGAACTTTAGCTAGCAGTAATAATAAGTCGTTATTCCATGGACGATGAATTTAAAATTTAAATTCAAATTTTTTCGATCCCTTATGCTTCGGCCATTTAATAATACTTTGTGATCTAAATTTTCTGTTGAGATTTTTTGTAGTTTTGTAAAAATCGGTTTACTAACACTCTACAAAGCTATTGGGGAAGATACTCTAAGGAATGTGCTTGGCAGCAAATCGAATAAGTATATGAAAAATTCATAGGGGGCAGGTAGAAAGAGAAAGAAAAAAAACAACTTGTATGAGACTTGGGAGACAAAAAGTCATAAAAATCTTTATTTCAAAAGTTTGTTTTTGAAATACAATGATAGCACACAATCAATCCGCATATTCATTATTAATAAAAAAGTTTGTGATTATGTGATATTATATAGGTGCCTGAGATATTTAGGATCTATTGGACGGCGAAGATAACGCTTTTTTCTTACTTATCTCAATGGAATAAAATTATGAATGTATGTTAAAAGACATGACCCAGATGATCTATATTGCTTCTTTTTTTCCCCCCCATCACTGCAGCATGAAGAATATACCCTTTATTTTATCGTCTTTGCAACTACCTAATACGAAACTTTAAAGATCCTACAAACTATATATATATATATATATATATTCTAGGTTAATTTTTCAAGTAAAATTTTCAAGGAAAGGTGATCAATATTAGTCCATTCACTTTTTTATGACAATAAATAGAAGCGTAGGGAGTCAAAGATTTTAATGGTGGTGGCGGGATATGACATCTTCGGCCCTAGCCGAATGTAACTTTTTTTTCAATCAACCGCACAGAGAGAAAAAAATACCAAATGATAGTTCAATTTATTGAAGACCTTTAGATTATACTATGCTTCAGTTTCTCTACTACACAAATATGGGTTAAAGTAGATTTAAAATTAATTTTCCGACTTCCGAGATTTGATATATATGTTGGGCCCAAATAAATTATAAATTTAATATATCATCATCATCATCATCATCATCATCATCATCATCACTTTCTTGTGGGGGCTATGACAATTTCGAATAAAATCCATTAAGTACTGCAACTGTTTGACTATCCAAACTGCATGCATCTGTAATTTTTTTCATTGATTTGAATTTTAAGTGAAATAAATGATTGATTTTTAAGTTCTTATACATTTTAAAACGGGAATTTTGTTTACATAAAATTAATCAAGATGTTTTAAAGTTTCATTCTTCTTACTCTTCACTTTCATGTAAGCATATGTGAATTGTGTATTTATGCAATTTTAGAGACTTAGCCTGTTGTTATCGCAAAACTTGATGACTTTGCCAATTAGTCAGTTCATTTCCTTTTTTTTAATTTCCTGGCTAAATAATCAATTTTTTTGTTTTTTTTTTTTTTACCCAAGAAAATTGGAATCGCATGTTAGGCTTTTTTAATTAATCTATTAAGTAAATTTTGGAAATATGAGTTTTTCCAACTGATTAGGCATTTTGAATACGCATTGCTGAAAGAAAGTGTATGATACTTTAATCATTCCGTTTGTGACGTCCAGTAACAAACTGATATATTTATATATGTATATGTATAACATACATACGAATACATATATATAATAAATGTATGTATATATAAAATCGTTTCATTTCATACATACATACATACATATATACCTATATGAAATTAAATGAATTTTCATGTGCCGCGATCCCATCGATTCATCTTTAAATGCAACTCGCAAAAGTTCCATAGAAACGATAGCATAGATTATAATAATGATTTGCATTAATTAAACCAACATGTATATCGGATTTTCAATTGAAATATAGCTTCAATTTCTCCAAAATTTTCCATTCCGTAAGAAAACATTACAGTTTGTAATTGTACTTATCATATCCATAGACGTGTATGCATTAGATTAGAAATGTATCCGATGTATAAATGTATGTGTGTAATGAGAGTATCCGAGATTTATTATAATCGAAAAGTGAAAGCTTTTTCAACTCTTAACGTTAGAATTCATTTTCATAGTGTTTTAATCTATTCTTTTATGTATTATGTAGATATGTAATGATATAATATATATATATATATACATAAATTTATATACGTATTTATGTATGCATGAATTTAAGGTTTTATTTTTAGAGTGAATCAATTTGCTGAATTTATTTATATAAAAAAAAAAAAACAAAATTGATGTCTGCTGTTACTATAGACTACAAGCGACTGACTTTGATTATAATTCAATATCGAAGGTGGCGGGTGTAATAAATTTATAACATTCAGAAACGCCCGTTAGAGATTCTAAAAAAAATAATATTATAATAAGCTAATCAGAGCAGCGGTATTTTTTGAAAAGTCGCGCGATATCAATCATGATTGGCCGATAGAGGTCATCATTACAGTGAAATTTTAGATAACACCACGAAATATTTTGGCAAAAAACTTGCAATTGATGAGCGAAATCCGACACATATATATATATATATATACAGCTCTTCAAGGCAATCCTGCAGGGAAGAGCGCTTATTCCAAGCATTGGATATCGGAATGAAAGCTTAGATGTGGTTTAAACCTTACCCTCTGGACAAGGCGAGGCCTATCCATCACCTCTTAATTATTTAATGCCCCCATACTTGGGGATAAGCACAGCCAACAGGAGTACTCCCCGAAGAGCAGCAACCTAGCAGACAGGCCTCACACATTGGTTAATCTGCTGCGTTTCCACCGAAGTTTCCACACGGCATGTCAATTTGCAAGCGTCCGCCCGAAGAATCTTGACAAAGATCAATCTATAGTTCAACCAATGCTGTCACCCCTTAGCAGGGTATTCGTAACATTGTGAGCGGGTAACCTGACTCCCATGGATTCCATAGTTCATAGCCAACTTCAGAATTATCGGCATGCGTGTGTCATTATGTTCGTAATTTCATACTTGCATTTTAGATTTTCCATACATGCGCGCATGCCACTCCTATTACTCTCTCTCTTGGATCAATTGTCCTAGAAAAAGTAATCAACCCAGTTATGCCAGGCGCCCATCACACTACCCTATCGTTAGCTTTTCTACAACTACCTACCTACCTGGTTGTGTATTGGACCTTCTGAGTAACTGACTACATTGGTGTGGAAGTTTGCATGCAGACGACCTCGGAGCCTCTCTCCAAATAAAGGAACCCCAACGCCGGAGAATCCACATATGGTAGTCATATATTGGAATTTAGTGCAATGGTACACTAATGTACCGCCGTGATTGGTTTGAAAATCCATTCAGAAGGTCTAGACAATACTGCAGAGTCTTGATCATTATTTGATTTCACTTGCATGCTATTAGGTTTTTTCGCATTTACTTAATCGAAACGTAAATTACAAGTTCGTGTCCTTTGATTACTAAAAAAAATTCATATCACGATCGCCTGCGCGCGACTAACTATATCTGTTATCTATTGGTCGCAGGAGTAAGGTAAGTGAAACTAGAAAGTAATAAATTTTTCAAAAAACTTTAATGTTAATGCTAAACGTTTGCCGAAAGTTTAAAATAAGTTGAGCATAATTGTTTTTTTTTTCATTTTTTGACTTTTTTATTTATTATTTAATTTTATAGTTCTGTTGTTGATGTTCGATTTTATGGACTTAAACTGTTATTATTGCTGTTCCTTTGCTTTTCTTTTCTTTTCCTTTTCTCTTAAAAGTATGCATTAAAAATTTTTACATTTCTTTACTATTTTGGACTTGTGGTATATTTTATTATATTTTATTTATGTATGAATAGAGTTTTTCGTATTAAGTATACATTTTGCTTCCCTTATTTATTGATTTTTTTTTGTTGTTTTTGGATTTTAATAAATAAATTATACTTTTTATTAATTATTTTCCTTTTTTTTATTTTAATTATAATTTTTAGGTGAAAAAATAGTGATTTGCTGAAAATTTTATTGTTTTTTTTTTTTTTTTTTAATTTTTTTTTATATTATAAAAAATGCATTTCTAGTGAGTTAATTAATTCTTATACTCACAGCGGGAAAATAGAAGCTAATTAACTATTTGCCATGCTCTTCAAGGTGAAAGCGGTGATCGAACAATTCGGCCTAATTCGAATATAATTTCTTTCTAGTTAAAATCAATTTGCAAAAAAAAAAATAAAAAAAAAAAAAAACTAATCATAGCGATTCAAAGGTAATTTTTTCCATTTTATTCCTTCTAGACTTAGAGTAAATGATTTCATTTTTTTTTTTTTCGTTATTTTTCTTTTTCATTTTTGAAAATTGTTTAAAAAAATAATTTTTATATTCTTTGTTCTAGCTTTTGATTTTTCGGCTAATAAGCTTAAATACTTTCATTTTTGTTTTATTCCAATCTTTAGGCAAAAAAAAAAAAAAAAAAAATCGAATATATATGTATATATATATATATATATATATATAAAAAAGTACACTAAACACTTGTAAGGCTGTATGTAGTATCAAGTAGTTTTTATTTTTAAAAGTTAGTTTGTGTTTTTTCACCTTCATTTAAATTATATTAACTTCGAAGGCCATTTATATAAAATAAGCATTCTTTTGTCATATTTTTTCTTTTTTGTTTTTTAATAGTAAAAAATATCACAACGCCTGGCTTTAATGTGTTTTTTTTAATTTTTTTTTTTTTTTTAAATCCGTTTTTAATATAATTTTAATGAAAACTAAAAAGATTAGCGCAATAAAATAATAAAAATGTTTTGTTTAGTTTTTTTCGTTTCTTTTTATTAAAATAAATATAATTTTGAATAATTGCACATACAATAAATATAGAGAAATAAAACATAATTAAAAATGTGTTTCAAAGAAAAACAAAAAAAAAAAAAAAAAAAAGAAGAACTATATATATATATATATCGAATATTAGTATAAAATCGATAATAACAGCGATTGTTTTAAAAGACAATTTAAACTCAATTAAAAAGAAAAGAATAAAACATACATAAAAATGGATTTAATTTCTTATTTTCATATATAATGTTCTTGAAACATTTATAAATATAATAATACAAATTGCGTATAAAAAAATGATGACATTGTTTAATGTTTACTCTTTTTTTTTTTTTTTTTTTTTTTTTTTAAAATAAAAACGTAATTAAAAAACATAAAAAAAAAAAAAAATAAAAAAATGGAAAAGAAACGCAAGATAGATTTGTAAAGCTTTCCAAAAGCTTTTTACATATATTTTAAAAAATTATTTATCAAAAAAAAAAAAAAACTTAAAAAAAAAAAAAAAAAACGGAAAAGAAAAATATTCGTTTTACTGCATCCGTTAGAGACATCATACTTTAGCAATAGTCAACTTAATTGTAAATCTAATGCGAACATAAAAAACTTCTTTATCATATATAACTATAATTGTTTACTCATTGTTTACTTTCTCCTTAATTCTATATATAAATACATAAATATATCTATATATATATATATATATATATATATATATGTATGTATGTATCTATGTATGTATATATATATAGATTTCTATATATAAATGGGGTTTTTCAAGACCAGCTTCGTTTGCACACTCTCCCTCTTCGAAATTTTCTCCTATTATTTATTGTTAGTGTTGCATTTGCTAACAATTGCTTTTATTGTTATAAACTCAATATTTTTGATGGTTCACTGGTAGGTGTGACCAATTCTAAGGGATGTTTGTTTTGTGAGGAGCAATTGGGTATTAATGGTCCTGAAACTGGAGTGAGACCAGTGCCACCATCCATTAGGGAATCAAAGTTGAACATGCCAGTTGATGGTGTTTGTATAGCCACACCGTTGATGTCAGTAGGCGGTTTAGTGCCATCGACATTTAAAGCTAAATTTTGAGCCATATTTCTTGGCACTGTTGGCAAAGAGTTCGGTCTTTGCTTAGAGCTTGTCTTTATATTGGATGTATTGAGTATAGAGTTGCCGGTAAACATTGAGCCAAAGCTAACCGGTGCAGTTGTTACAATTGGGGTATTAAGTGAAGCAGACGCGGCCGCTAATGAAGCCGATAGTGTGGCTACATTTGGTAGCGGTGGCGGTATCATGGGATTATGATTACTTAATAGTAAACGTTTCGGTGATGGTGGACCATCTTGATCCAATGATGAATTTGAATCAAGGGCACTGTCTAAAGGCTCTGGTTTTATTTGCGTTAACAATTGATCGCTTAGTACAGGTTTTAAATCTATAGGCGAAATACTACGTGCCGTTGAAGCCAACGTGGTATCTAAACCTGTAATATTATCGTTATTGCTTAAACCACCGTACGCGTTAACGTTTAACAAATTCTGCCTTAACTTTTGACATGTAGGAAGATGAGCTTCCAATATGAATTCCAACTCTTGTTTAGTACCGTTTAAGTTTTCAATTTGCTTTTGTAAATCTTCACGTTTTCTCTCCAGTTGAGTCACCTCATCGGTTAGTTCATTAGTTTGGTCGACTCGTCGTTTGCGGCAACGCGCTGCGGCCAATTTATTACGTTCACGTCGTATACGTCGTTTCTCTTCCTCTTCCGGTGTCATATTAGTGGCATTCGTTGGACGGCGACCTCCTCCTCTCCGAGTAGGAGGGGGCGCGTTTGAATTTGCAGCATTTGCTGTGATCGCAGTAGTGGCACTATTTGAGGTATTACTGGTATTTGGTATTTTGGCAGCTGCAGCCACTGCAGCCATGGCTGCTATGTTTGCGGTAGCGAAATCATTGCTGGTGGCCACAGAATTGGAATTATTTAAGGTATTAATACCCAAACTATTTAGGCCATGCTGAAATGAGGTACTATCTGTGGCGGCACTTGCTATAATTAAAATAATTATAAAGTCATCATAAATATGAAATGAAAAGTATTGTCAAAGGGTAAACGTACAAGTATCTGTTGTGGCCAAAGAATTGTCTTCATTCAGTTGTCCTGGATTCCAAGATCCCTGAGAGTTTTCCGTTTCCGAATCATTGATATTACCGTAATCGTGTAGACTAGTTCCACCACTTAAATCACCCAAGTAGACATTGTTCAAGGTAGCATTGGTTGTTAATACATTAGCAGAGGTCGTTGTGTTGTTGTTGTTGTTGTTGTTACTATTGCTGTTATTATTATTGTTACTACTCGACGAAGCATTGTATGAACCTAATGGCGGCGGAATAAAACCAGCCTGATAGGGCGCATTAATCGGTTCACTGGTCAATTGTATAAACGATTCCTCTATACTTCGTAGAGTAGTCGGTGTAAGGGTGGGTGTTGTCAATGTCGGTACACCTGTTTGCATACATTCCATAGAAACGAGCTATAACGAATAAATCGAGAAACAAAAAAAATTGTTATTTTAATCAAATTTTTTGGAAATTTTTTTTAAAAACCTATCCATAGTACATAAATCCAAATTTGATCTATTAAAATCTATATAGGTTACACCTACACGTGATTTTTTCATCATCATCATCATCATCATCATCATCATCATCAAAAAAGAAAAACAAAAAACAAATTATTTTGAGAGTCAAACACCCACACGAAATTTTACCTGTGTGAAATAGAAAATATATTTTGATATATTTTGAAAATTTTTGCTTCTTCTTTTTGTTTCTTTCCTGTAGCTGCTTATAAGCAAATATAGATTTTATTTTTATATCCCCACAACGCCCGACCGCATAATCGCGTATAATAATTTTATTATTGCGTTTGAAAAATGTAAATTTAGGCATTGGTAGTCGCCGCCACCGCCACCTTGTAAAGTTTTTAAGTAGAGTGTCATTATAAATCGGGTAATTATCAACAATTTGAAAACTTACTTATAAAACATCGCAGATATTGAACGGAAATCTTAAAAATGCTAAGAAAAAGTTGAAATTTATCATTTCACATGAATGTCGGAGAATTTTAGAATTTATTATACTACAATATAGTATATTTTGTACTAAATTTTGCTAAACTACAGTATAGTGTATTTTGTACTGGAAATTATTGTACTACAGTGCAGTGTATTTTATACTGGAAATTATTGTACTACAGTGCAGTGTATTTTGTCCTAGTATATATTGTACTATGCTAGAGTATAGTATTTATAATGTAATATACTATACTATACGGTGCTAGTACTACTACACTATACTATACTTACACCCATTTTTCGCTAACATATCAAATTTCAAAATATTGTTTAAGTTAGTTAATGCCCGAAAGAAAAATGTCAATTTTTTTTTTTGCTCATTCGACAGGTACTTTTATATAGATTTACATGATTATAGATGAATATAGGTGACATTTTCTAGTTTGGTCGCACTAGAGTCTCAAATTTGACCATATTTACTTTTCGGTAACATACCAAATTTCAAAACGCCGTTAAAAATAGCTCCCAAAGGCAGAATTTGAATTTGTTTGAGTCTGTTTGAAAGGTATTTTCATATAGGTTCAAGAAATTACCATAAAAATATTTTCCTTTTTTTTGATATGGACGGAGTAGGCTTTCAAATTCAACTATATCTCAATTGTAGTTATTTGACAGAGCTCCGTTAAATCGGTAACAGAGTTTTGTGAACAGAAATGGTAGGTGTCTTTGCTAGTGAAATTTGAATTTATCTTCACATCCTTTGCGACATGTTATTGTTGATTATATGAATAACAATGGGGTGATCTAGGGTATTCAATGGTGCGAGTTAGCCCACTATTGTATTTTGACTTGTTATTTTTATTTGTTTTTTTTTTTTTTATTTTATTTCTTAGGTAGTTTGTGCATATATTTTTCGTGTTTTTTTTTTCTTTGTGTTCTCTTCATTTCGATTAGATTGCATTTAATTTTGAAAAACTTTTTACCGACTGCTTCTGCACGCGTTCTATTGTTATTTATAAAAATGAACTCGTTCGGTCGTTTACATATATATATATATATTATTCTCGTACACGTTCAATCTAAATGGATTTTGCTTTTATTCGAAAAATGCCAACTTCTCATATGCATTTTTCTTGTTTGGCTTTAAATCAAAGGGAGCGCGAAAGTTGACTAAATTCAAAAATAAAAAAAAACATTTAATTAATTAATTCTAATTAAATACTTGTGCTCTTTTTTAATGCAATAATAAATATATATATATACATATATATATATATATATATATATG